TAACACACAACTAAAAGGTTCCTTTTAGTAGTTAACCATGACTGCCCCCAAAATCCTTGACATAGGTGAGAATTAGCAATTAGCTACACTTCCCTCATTGCCAGGTTATAATGACATACATTTTGAACCAAATTCTGTGTGTCTATGTTTATTAAGCAAACATTTCTCAGCAAGAAGGCAGCAGCTTTTCCTTTTTAGAGCTCCAAGCCCCGCTGTGTATGAAAAGCTCACAGGAGGAGGCAGCAGCAACATTCTAGGGGAAGGATCTGGCTGCCTTATTGTTTGTCAGGCAACTAGAAGTTGTTCTAATCCACAGGTGGTGGGCAAGACCATTTAAGGCTCTACCAAAACTGTTTTCATGGACAAAATTTACTAAGCTTAGCAGTCTAGTTAGCTAGGCATCAGATGTTACCTGAGTTCCAAATAGTTGAATTGAATATGGTAGTACCTGAGCAGTGAGTCTTTGTGGCCAATCATGCTAGCTAAAATCCAGTCTGTATATTCTTTTTGTTTTGCTTTTAGTTGACAAATAATAATTCTACATATTTATGGGATATGATATGTTTTGATGCATGTTTACAATGTAAAAAGATCAATTCAGGCTAACAAATCCATCACCTCATGTATTTAATGTTTTAGTAGGCTTTTCTGTTTCTGTGACCAAAAGAGTAGATAAGAATAACTCGAAGAGGAAATTACTATTTTGGTTCAAGGTTTCAGGGGTTCAGTCCATGTTAAGCTGACTACACAGCTTTGGGTTCCAGGTGAGGCAGAACATCATGGCATAAGAGCATGGTGGAGCAAAGTATCTCAGGATATGATCGCCAGGAAGTAGAGAGGGAACTCTGCTCAACAGGAACAAAATAACAAACCCCAAAGGCATGGCCCCAGTAACCTATCTCCTCCAACCACACCCTACCTGCTCCCAGTTACCACTCAGTTAATCCATATTAGTGTATTAATCCACTGATTAGGTTACACTCTCATAACATAACCAATTCACCCCCTGAACATTCTTGGATTGTCTCACATATGAGTTTTAGAGGGACACCTCATATCTAAACCATAACACTTAGTACTTTTATGGTGAAAAATATTAATAAATCTAATTTTAAATTATTTTTAAAATACACAATACATTATAATTTATGGTATTTAACCATTCTGTGAACAGATCACTAAAACATTCCTCCTAATTAAAATGGATTCCTTATTAAGGCAATTTATTGTCCCTTTTGTTGAATCTTGCACTAAGTAGTACATTTATACTACTTACATAGTTTGTGCTAAAGTGTTTTTATCCAAATGTGTTCATATTCAAGAACCATAACAATGGATGCTTAATAATCACACATAGTCTGCAAATACTGATTTAATACTTATCCCAGGTCAGACACTGTAATTAGACACCAGGATCACTAAGGTAAATAAGGTAGTTACTACCTTAAAAGAGTTTGCAATTGAATGGGAGAAATATAAGCATAAGCAAAGCAATGATTATAGTGTAAAGTGATAAATGCCAGTTTACCCAGTGTACTTCTGGGATCCCCCAAAGACAAGTAGTAGTATTCTAGAGGTAGTATTAGAAGACCAGAAAAAAATTAATTTACATGTATAAAGTAGAGATAATCATTTTAAATCAAAGTAGCAGTGCTTGTATGAAAGTACTAAGATTTGAAACCTCACAATCCATTTTAAAAGTTATAAGTAGTTGAGATTGGCTAGAAGAAAGTAAGGAATGAGCTGAGTATAGGAAGACAAGATTGGGGAGAACAGATCAGTTAGGTTTTGTGTGTTAAGGTCAGAAGTCTGACTTTTTCTGCAAGATATGAGTTATCAGGGAAGAATGTTATTCAACAAATAATGTACATTTTAAAAGGTCAGTTGAAAGCAACATGTAGAATGGGTTGAAATAGGGTAGAGGCGGCGGCACAGGGTGATGGAGGCCAACACCACTTAAGGAATGGTAAGAGCTTAACCTAAGGTGTAAGCATTGAGAATAGTAAATACAGATTCAGAAGTAACCAATGATAGACTTGAGGCTGACTGGGAGTGTGAGAAAAATCTAGAATATCTCGGAGCCTTTGGCAAATTGCATGGATGGTGCTACCCATCAATTTTAAAATGACTAAATAATGGCCACATGAATAATTGTTCCAATATGGGCATTTTATTCTTTATTAAATTAAGTGAAGCAATCCAATAAACAAGTTTTCCTTAAAGTTTGTGTAACTTTAAAATTAAAATGGAGGGATATTACATGTGGTTCTTCTCATTATCAGACAATAATACATTCCCGTCAATACTCTAGATTCTCTTTGGATTCTCTGTGTTCTTCTCTTGCTTGGCTTGTGATATATATATATTCAGCCCCTCTACTTTTTAAGCTCTTTCACTGTAGATGTTTGTCTTTCCTGGTCAACCCAGTAGTAAGTACAATTCATTACACTACGTATTTTTTATTTCTTCAAGCACTATAAACTATAATCTCACAAAAACATGTTAAGTAATTTGTAGTATTGCATACAATTCTCTTATTATAACTGAAAATAACTTTTGATTAGAAGTCAAAAGTAATGGGTTAAAAAAGATAGCATTTATAGCTGCATCAAAATTATACATTATTCTAAGTGACTATGCAATCACTGGTTCATTAAGCTGTTATATTCATACTGTATAAACCTTAAAAAAGGAGCACACATTTTTAATTCTACTATAATTGCTCCATCATGCCAATGTATATTATTTCCAATAAAATATAACTTATATTCTTATATAATGTCCCTTTCTTTCTAATAAAATATAAGTTTTTCCTGAAAACTCTTTAAAAGTTTATAAAAAGAGGGATAGTAAAATCTATATACAAAATCAACAGTATGATTAACTAGAAAACAATTCTACACCACAGCAAGTCAGTAAATTCAAATATCTACAGGATCTATAAAAATACATTTAACTATTAAATTCTTATAACAACAGTCTAACATAATCTGTCTTTAAATTATTCAAAAGGTGTTTCAGAATCTTGAAGACTATTAAGAATAGGAAAAGTCAATTATTATATTGTGAATGTATGGAATGTTTGAAAACGTCACTTCTCTTAAGTGCACCTCTACTAAACAGAGTACCAGATTTCACCATACTAAAGGTAAAGAAGGGTGTAGGGAGTAAGGCAAATTCAAAAACAATGACTTATTGTGCCTCCAATTCAAATGTAACAAAATAAACCAAAAAAACTGAGTATGTACTTTCTAAATCTACATGGAAACAAGAATGTAAAATAATAAGAAATTATTATTATCAAAAAGCTATACCTCATAAGTAAAGATAACCACATGTTAATATTTATGTTAAGAGGTTTGTATTAATAGTCACATCAACATATTAAATTCTAGAAGTATCTCATCTTTATTCATAATAATGTAGCCTATGTATTTTCTGATTATATTCATAGGAAAATATGAGATTCCACTAATAGATTTTTTAAGGAGAACTAAATAAAATTTTAACAGTGAAAAACACTAAGCACATATTGAGCACCATTTGTATTAATCATTTAAACAAAAGAATATAGGTTTTAAGATGTCTGTAGTAAAATGATTTTTAATTTTATAAAAATGACTAACAAATTAAGTTATAGATTTATTTCTGCCAAAATGTCTTCTAACATACTGTTTTAATTTAAATTACTTAATTAAAAAAATAAGAAATGTAGCCAGTGAAAAAAGCACTTAAGGTTTTTCACATGTTTTCTTTCTGGTATTTCAGTAGAAAGTTTTACTACTTCCTGAAATCTTGGAATGCATGACTGGATTTATTGAATTCACACATATCAATCTTTCAATAATGTTGCCAAGTATAAGTGAATGAAACGATATGCCAAAAGTCATATTCTGCCAACTATATAGTTGGCAGTATTGAACCACTGTTATTTTGCTTGACACATTTTTTTTTCTAATTTGTGTTATCTTAACGTATAAATTAAAATAATGAACTTGTAAACAACTCTTTAAATTTCTCTCTACTTTCTCTCTCTCTTTCCAGAGACAAGTAAGGAACACAGAATTCAGAAAGAATGATTACAATACATCTAGCTATTAAATAATATTTATTTTAATCTTTTGATTTACTAAAGAAATATTTATAATACCATACATTCATTTGTGACACAAAATACACTATGACATTTTGAATGAGAATTACTAAATTTTCCCTTAGACCCATGTATGTAATAGTGGACTCTTGAAATCTTTAATAATCAAAGAGAACATTTTTCTGCTGTAATGTATTATTTCTAGCTAAATAATAATTCTGTGAAGGTAATAAGGATGGTAGTTAAAAAAAAACAGATTAAAAAAACAAATGTGTCACCAGAATAATTACATTGTGCTCTTTTGAACAAACAACAGTACATAATTTAGAAGACAAGAATTTACAAGACAAATCTGTTTAAACACACACTGTAGGGATAAACTTCAATCACCTAAATATGAATGTTACAGAAAATATCTATTAACATACTTCTTAGAAAAGTTCTCTCGAATATCCTTTAATATTTTCCCATGTTCAAAACAAGTTGAACTGTTTTAATCCTATAGGCCGAGAGACAATTCCAGTTCCTACAATTGAGAATGCTGGCAGAGGACTGAAAAAGTATGTGAAGGACAGGAAGCTTGGTCACTGGACAGATGCTCTCATATAGTTAATCTATTGAGACTTGTAAAAAATGACCTCAAAGATAGACAATAAACTGAGGACTTACTTTACAAACCTTGAGACAGGAGAGCACATACACAGCACCAAACACACACACACACTCACCTACACCCAGTTTTCTCAATATTTCTCTTTTCAGACTCATTTTTTTTTTTAGAAAAAATAAAGGAATTCCTAGAAAAATATACTCTACTGTTTCATCGTATTTTATATTCAATCCCTTTCTACTATAAAATGTTTAGTGCTGAAGACACTATATATATATATATATATATATATATATATATATATATATATATATATATAATTAAAACTAAATTCCCCATGGAATACGTAAGATGTTAACAAAATCTGCATCATCTGCTATCCCTATGCTTAGACCTTCGTAGTAATCTTCAAATTCACCATATGATACTTCATCAGACTTGCTGCAGATGGCCTTTAATGTTTCTAGAAAATATGATTTGATTTCTTCCTCTGTGGAATGGCCTGTAAAATAATACCAACTATGAAACAGTCTCTGTTAAAAATTGGTAAAATAATGATTATAAAGGAATGCTTATTCATTTTATAAAATCTTTTCAACAATACAAAATAATACGTAAAACTGTGCTCCAATTTATTTAAACATGAGCTAGAATTAATTCCATCTCGTTACCTTGCCACTCCCTCCTCACCCCTCTTTCTCTTGCATTATCTATTTCCAGAATTTTAGCAGAGAACATGACAGAAAAATAAAGTTATTTTAAATAAAGAAGCAAGAATTAAAGAGGAAAGGAAGCTATAGAAGGCGGTCAAATTATAAATGGAAATAAATGGGTACATATGAAAAAGCAGAAAAAGGCTAAAAGAATCTTTGTGGCTTTCTAAAATATTTTAGAGTCAGGTTGTATTGTAAATAACAGAATTAAATGGGAATATCCCCTGATCATTTATCTAGTAAGGTAAACAAAATTAGGGTAAAAGCTGGATCTTTTTCACAAACCAGAGATTCTCTAATGTATTCAGAACATAATGCTTGTAAAGTGCCTTTCAACTAATTGAATGCAATCTTTTAGAGTATCAAGAAGGTTTCTGTCATTCAAAATCATACATGAGTAATACAGAACAAAGCGATTCTTAGTCAAGGCTAAAAATTAATCATAATATAATCTATATAAAAACATAAATTTGGGGGCTAGGGATATAGTTCAGTTGGTAGAGTGCTCACCTCACATGTACAAGGCCCTGGGTTCAATCCCCAGCACCAAATAAATAAATAAATAAATAAATAAATTTTGGCAGGAGAAAATTCTCTCCCTGTTCACCATTCATACATTTGAACAGATAAGTTCTAGTTCAATATTTTTTTCTAAGAAAAACTTTTCCTAGTTAAATTTATGCTTCAAATATCCGAAGATTTTATACCTCCTTAAAATCTTCTACATAGGAAAGTGCCTATCTGCTATCATATGTAACTTAATTTTACTATCTTTAACTCCTCTTAAAGATTAGAAAATATTTACCACAACCAATACATCTAATACCATTACACAGAAAAACACTTGGGATATCCCATTTTTGTTAAACTTTAATGCTTGTAATTAATTACTTAAAGTAAAAAAAATATAATATTTCGTATTAGTCAAATAATATTGTATGTGGTATAAAAGCCTTAAAATGAAATTAATTGTAAATGATAAGCAACTTTTGCCCTAGAGATGGGCATGTGAATAGTTTGCAATAATAGATAACAGAGTTTTTCTTTTCTAAAAACTTGTGTTTCTCTTTCGTAAGTGTTTAGCTTGCTAGCTAGTCCTCCTTAATGTGAATGCAAAGACCAAGTATAGAAATTTTGAAACTAACAAAGGCTTCCCAACAACAAAAGAAAAACCCTCTTCCACAATTCAATGACACAAAATAGAACTAATAATGTCTTCTGTCTAATAATGCTTAACATTATTAGACAGAAGACAAAAAGAAAAAAATAAACAATAATGAAGTCACCTAATTTTGAAATGAGTAAACTACTATGTTCTGATATTCAGTATGCCTAGTTAAACATAAAGCATGGGGAATGACATGTTTAAAGGGTAAAAAGTATACTATGAAATATTATTAGAAATTCTCTTGGAGTAACTGTAATTCATTTAAAGTCACTAATAATCCAACGAAACTATTATTTTATTTTATTGGCACCAGGATTTGAACCTAAGGGTGGATGCTTAACCACTGAGCCACGTCCTCAGCCCATTTTATATTTTATTTTGAGACAGGGTCTCATTATGTTACTTATTATAGCCTCACTAAATTGCTGAGGCTGGCATTGAACGTGAGATCTTCCTAACTCAGCACCTCCCCGCCCCCAAGCTGCTGGATTATAGGCATGTGCCACCACACTCAGCTTCAAATAAAACTATTTTAACCTAAAACAGATTACTGGAAATTTGGAAACCAGTAATAATTAGCACTAATCTTCAATACTAACTCATTTTTTTCTGTTTTTACTCCCCAATTAAAATTAATAAACAAACCATGTGCAGAAGTTAATAAGAAAACAAAATAATTAGTGCATATTTTTAATATTAAAAAGCAAAAATTTAAAATAATAGTACTATATAATTTAAATGATAAATTCAGAAACTTCATAAAAGATGGCCAATAGTCATAAAATAGTAAAAAAAATGGTCAATAAATATTCTCTAGTAATCAAGGAGATGCAAATAAAAAAATGTTTAACTTACCAAATGGACAAAAAGTTAAACTGTTGGCAAAATTGTGAAGGAATAGAATTTTCCAAGTAGTGGTGGTATAATCTAGTATTATCATCATACAATATAATCTGGAAGTATAATTAAAAGTGGAAATCTAGATATCCAACTAATTCTAGGTTTTGATATCTAAGGAATCAGAAGAAAATGAGCCTATACTCATAAATAATCATATATGTTGCTTTATTGGTTGTATATCAATAATTAGAAATTAAAAGCCCACCAATGGGCTATGAAAATTGTATAATATTGATTTGTGAAAATAATAATATATACAAGGTAAAAACAAAGTGACTAAATATGCATTAACATGGAAATAGATCCAAAACACACTGTTGATTATAAAAAGCAAAGTATATAACAATATGTTTAATATGTCTTTCAAATCAGGAAAAATAATCTTCAAAAAGTATTAGATTTTTATAGCAGATATACAGCTATGAAAAATACATAGATTAAGGACAGAAATATATATATATATATGTAAAATGAGAGTAACTTTTACTTCTCTGAAGAAAAATGTAATGGAGAGAGGAGATTAGTGGCGGTCAAATGCTTTATTTATAATTAAGAATTCATTCATAAATCAATTGTGTAAAAAAAAATTCAGGAGAAATACAATAGGAACTGAATTCCTAGAATTATTTTGGGAAATTTGCTTTATCCTTCTAGTATGAATAAACACGTAAGCAGATAAAGTAAAACTAACCCTGAGAATTGGCAGATATAATTACCTATTTTCTAAATCTGGTCTTTTAAACTCAAATTCCTCATCCTCTCCTAAGCAAAAATAAAATAAAATAAGAATTCTATATCAATTATAAATATCAAATCTGGGCATCCTTTCACTTCTGTAATCCCAACTACTCAGGCGGCTGAGGCAGGAGGATGACAAGTTCAAGGCCAGCCTGGGTATCAGGGTGGGAGGGAGTGGGAAACGTGTATAAACAGTAAACCTAAGAACTTTTAAATGAAAATGGTAAATAGCTCTCAAGTTTCTGGTTCAAACAAAAATTATTTTTTTCCTTCCTCAGTCAATGCTTTAAACTTAAAGATGATGCTTTTATCAACCAACATTTTAGAAATCGAATGCACTTTGACTCATAACAATTACCTGAAATTACTTGAGGATGCTTCTTGGCACAATAACATTTTCTTATGTCTGTGAGAGTCACAATGCCAGTTTTGTTGAAATCCAGTTTCATAAAAGCCTAAATAGGGAAATGTTATTTTTTTCTATGAAATCATTACACATAAAAACCTAATTATCTATTTTGCAGTAGGTTCTTTCTGAGCTATAAACAGGACAATTTAAAATGTACTAAATTGACATACTAAAGAAACATCATAAATACAGGGGAAAAGATAATGAAGCAAGATGTTAGGAAACCCATACTCAAATATTTAGTTCTACCACCTTCTAACATCCTAACCTTGAAAGTAAGCTAACCTCTGTTGCCCTGGCTTTCCTTCTCTGCAAACTGAAGAGCTGGATAAAAGACCTCTTGCGTAACTTCCAGCTCCAAGACCCATAGAAAACTGCTAAATGACCAAAACAAATCACCAGGAGAACTATTTTATGCAAAAAGTGAACCTGCAAATATCCCTTCACTAAAATCAATGAAAAGGTGAAATAACTTTAAATGAGTGTTATTAACCTATTTCTTGAAATTTAACACTACCTTTTGAAATGTTAGTTATTTTACTGCTCTTCTAGTTCAATACGACTCTCAGTATCATAAAATATATATATAAAAAAAACTCCACTGGGAATATGATGAGGTGCATAAAAACACATAAGCTTCCCAAAGCAACATACCACATTGGCAGAAGAGTCAAAACTAGAATCTGTTTTATTTATTCACACTCTTGAGTTCATGAGTTCACAGAAATCTGGTACCTGTTGAAAATTAAATCACACCTCCCCAAATTCTTATGTTGAACCCTAACCCCCAGTGCCTCAGAATGTGACTGTATTTGGAGACAGGGCCTTTAAGGATGCAACTGAGCTAAAACAGAATCATTAGGGTAGGTCCTAATCCATTAGGACTAGTTTTCCTATTGAGAAAGCAGGGGGACACAAACAGAATAGACAACAATGTGAGAACACAGTAAAAGTGCAGCAGCTGCAAGCCAGGAATACACCTCAGAAGAAACAAAGCCTGCTGACCCCTTCTTCTTGGACTTCCAGCCTCCAAGCCATAAGAAAATAAATTCTGTTGTTCCAGTAATATAGTCTGTGTATTTTGATAATGACAGCCCTTGCAAACAAATCAAATACTCCATAACTCCTATTTTTCCCTCTATTCCCAGTACCAACATATATGAACAGGAAAATCACCAGTCTCTACTCCTGACACTCAAACCTATCACCAGGACATGTAGAGTACAAATAAGTACCAATTTATAAATATTATGTGGTGAATTTGTTTTAGTTAACATTTTTATTGTGTCTCTTGAATCAGTAAAGGCAGAGTTTAATTTCTATTTGAGATTTATACCTGAAATAATCATATATCTCACTTTATACAGAAAAGCTTTGTTTCAATGCTAACTTTAAAACATATATAATTTTGGGGCCCAAATACAAAAGAAAAAGAAAATTATATTGATCAAAGTTATACTCTTAAAATGGTCACCAGAAGTCAAGTAAATATGTAGTTTTCTATAAACACGGGGCTCCTATTTTAATTCTAATTTAGTATGATCATTATAATCCTCATGTTATCATTCGGCATGCAAATTACAAAGGCCAGAGAAACATTTTTAGTTATCATCATAAAATAACATGTATTGAGCATTGACAATGGGACAGTCACAATGCTGAGAAGTTTATATTTTTATCTCATTCAATCCTGTATTAATTCCATGGGACAGGAAACCCAGGCTCAGTGATATCTCATAACACATAAAGTCAAATAGCTATCAATTTATGGAAGCAGCAATTTATAGAGTTAGTAATTTATAAACAAAATTTGATTTCAAATTCCTTCCCTCTTATACTATTTTTTCTGAAACTTATGCTGAAGCTATTTTTACTTTATTCTGGGTAAATCTATATGCATTTGTGTTTATTTTTGTTTTACTAAACCCAACAATGTTTTATAGATACAATTATGTGACACATTTTAAATGGTAATTTGTGGAAGTTTTTAAATAATGAACCTAACTATATATTAAAAGTAATAATTTTAAAGATCACTTAGCAGTTACCTTTCGAACAAATGATTTCCTGTATTCATTCATTTCACCAATAATGGCACGTTTGAATTCTCCATAATCTACCTTGTCCTTGTCCTTGCCCTCGCCATCACCACTGCCACTCAGAATCAGCCACAAAGACTCAAAATCCTAGAAATATTCACAGGGTTCATTGTTACACCTCTAAGTTAGACATAGTCATAAAAAAATAGTCATAGTCATATTTTGTTACATCTCCTAAAGCCCTAGAAAAGGCAGATAACTTAATAGGAACATTCAAAAAGTCACATATAAATCCAAACAAGCCATTATGAAAATCACTTAAAGGAAACCTGAAGTGAATAGTTCTATAAAATTAAGAACAATTTAGGGGGCAATAACTCACAAGTATATCGTGTTTGAGTTATTTTATTTTTGATTGACAAATAATTGTGTATATTTGTATAATACAATATGGTTTCTACAATAATATTCAGTGTAGAACAATCAAATCAGGCTATCATCAAATGAAGATATTAACATATCTATCACCTCACATGTTTATCATTTCTCCATGGTGAAAAATGTTTAAAATCCCGTCTTTGGCTATTTTGAAATATACAGTACACTATTATTAACTACAGTTACCATACTGTGCAATAGATCACTAGAACCTCTTGCCTTACTGAAATTTTGTACCCTTTACCAACATCTCCCCTTTTTCTCTGTATAGCCCCTGACCCCTGCAACTAAGCCCATGTTCTGGTAAAAAAATTAATCCCTTAAAATTCAATTCATGGTTAGATAGAGTGAGCTACTATGTACTGGGTTTGAACTTTTTATTATTTTTATAATGTGCTATATCTGTGACAATTCAAAAGTCACGTTAGGTTCTGAAACACCTCCAACAGCATCCAACCACTAATTATATTCCTCCTGGTCTTCTTCTTTCAAAGATGCGAATGAGTCTAATGTTATTGCACAATTCACACTGAAAGGTGTGATTTGAGTAAACAAATCCCTTATGTTGGTTTGTACACTATGCCATTACCAGTTACTTCTTTGGCAAATGCACTATTTAAGAGAATGCTCTTTTCACAGCATTCTTTTTTTTTTTTAAAGAGAGAGAGAGAGAGACAGAGAGAGAGAGAGAGAGAGAGAGAGAGAGAGAGAGAGAGAGAGAATTTCAATATTTATTTTTTCAGTTCTCGGCGGACACAACATCTTTGTATGTGGTGCTGAGGATCGAACCCAGGCAGCATGCGTGCCAGGTGAGTGCGCTACCGCTTGAGCCACATCCCCAGCCCTCACAGCATTCTTGATAACAAAAAAATTGCAGCATGAATTTTCTTAAACCCAGATAAGTATATTATCAATGTTTTAATAAAGTTGTTAGCTTTAAACAAGACTAAATAAAACACGTAGTAAAGTACCTAGCAAATAAATACTCAAAAAGTATTCTTTTCCACTTCCTCCTATTTTTTCCAAACAAAACTTTAGTTAGAAAAACTATATCTCCAACTGCCCTTCTTCCCCTCAATTCTCAACAGCCCATTCATACTTTTGTCTATCCTAATGCCCCGTACATTACAGAGATTTTATGTGTTGGTTCAATCAAATTGAAAATGAGCTTGAAGTTTAAAGTCATGAGTAATATGAACAGGAGAAGACATATTTGTTCACTCAACTCAATAGAATACTAGAATTAAAGGATATATCTTAAAGCTTAAAATAAGTTATTTTCAAGAATTGAGTAATTTTACATAAGTGACAACAAATTTATGTCCTCTAGATATGGTACAGAATGGAAAGTTACTCATTTGAAAAAAGCTGGAGTAAATTCATTGTGGTATTTTCTATATAAATTAGGCTCTTTATGGTACAATTTTTTTTTGTTTGTTTATTTCAAATCAGGCAGGATGACAATGTCTTCCCACAAACACTTTCTAGTTCCACAATAGGCCTGGGGAGGCGGGGGTGGGGATGATTCTTATGTCTTATTCTCAAGCCTCTTGCACATGTTTATCATTCCATGAGCAGGTTCCAGTGATGTGACAGGAAACATAACAGGAATATTATTTAAAATAAATGAAATAGGGGAAGACTTACTCACATTCTTATATGTTATCCTCTTTAGTTTTACTCATAAATCTAATCAAACATTTAACAATCAATCAAAAGGGGAGGAACTGCAGTGACACAGGAAAATCACTAGATGATGCCAAATTATCTGGGGTCAAGCTCTCTATCATTTATTGACTACTTGTGTTATTATCAAAAGCAAATATCAAGACTTTCTAATTTCTTATTGCTGCTTTATTTTTAATCTACAAAAGAAAGAAGTGAGGGGGAATGATCCCAGGTATGTACCACTAGGTGGGCCACAAGCTTAAACATCATTAAAAAAAAAAAAAGAGCAGGTATGTTACAAAGGTGATAAGCAATATCATTTGGGCACAGGATTTTGCAGTTGACAAGGCATATTCCCATGTAATTTTTTTCATTTGAACTTCCATGCAATCTTATTAGGGCAATCAATTGGTCACACAGAGCTTGTCAACCAGAAAAGTTAAAAGCCTTGTCCAAGAACACACAATTAAAGCCATAGGACTAAAACTTGAACCTGAATCTTACAAATACAATTTGCAGGGTTTCTTCTACAAAATAGGCTATAGCTTTAACAAGACCATCTGGAGCAAAAGAGAGCAATGAGAAAGAATCCTTTAGCTGAAGTCTTGATGTGAGTCAAATTTATATGCTATTAGAATATAATAGAAATTAGCATTAAAGACTTTAGTGTATCAGACTCATTTCTCACTCTTCTTTTATTTTCCTTGTTTCCACACATGCATCTGTTGAAACTAATGCACTGTTTATTTAGCACTAGCTGTATGCCAGGTCCTGTTCAAGGTACTAGAAAAATAATGGGACCAGAAGCACCCTGGTCCCTACCCTGATGGGACCTAAGTTCTACTTGGAGGCAGAGCCAGACAATATTTACAATTTGACATGAAAAAATAAAAATGGGAAGTTGACACAGAAAGGCTCAGAGATCAGAAGGTGGTGCTCTTTTAGACAGAAGTGTCAGAGCAAGGCTGTGTATAGAAAAAGCTCTGGCCTAAATAGGAAGACAATGTAGCATTTAAAGACCTAGAAGAATATGACCATCTGTACACTTTGGGGAATAGGTTACTCCTTCCCCCTCCACGCCTTCATATGTGCTCTCCTTTTCAAGAAATATCTGCTGTCTGATCCACACTCCTCCTCTTCCCTTGGTTCCTAGTTAATTCTTCCTCATCCTTCAAAACTCAGCCTGGATCCTCTCCCAGAAATCTTCCCATGATCTTCCCTTTCCTTCCCAATAACCTCGCATAAAGTTAGCTACCATCCCATGTGTACCAAAATACTGTCTACTTAACACATATATAATTTCACAATCATTTCCTCAATTATGAAGATCATGAGAGTAAACAGTATGTCTCCTCAGAGCTTAGCACAATGCCTGGATACTAAGCTCTTAATAAATGTATTATTGAGAAATGAACATTGAACTTTCAAAAATCAATAGGACTTGCTGCCTGGTGGCTTTACACAGACAATAAGGCAAGAGGAAGAAGTCTACTTGAGCTACTAAAATTTCAGAAGAAAAGTGAATGATGCTACCCAAGAATACTCCCCTGCAGAAAACTTTACTTGGTACATACCTCTTCCAACACTTCTAAATGAAAAACTTTCAGAGCTTGCTTCAAATCTGCCTTATCTAAAAGCCCATTTCCTTCCTTGTCCAATTGTTGAAAGTGTTTTCCCAATCCAGTCAAAATACGAACACCTCTTTTAAGTAGTTTTTCTTTTAGCACATCTGTTTAACAATAAATGGGATGGAAACCAATTGTTACTGTGCACAAAGGTATCAAACTGCAGTTGTTTCTCTTGTAAGAAAATAAAATTTTATGTAATGGGAATAGTGTGAATATTGAACCAAATCAAGAGTATGACTAACAAAACCCTCCGGAAAACAGAATGTTTTTAATAAAGAAGATTATATATGCAACCACATGTAAATATACCAGAACTACAGCGCCACTGTGTGGTGAAAATTTAAAGTGTTATATTTTAAAATCAAGTTTCCTTCTATTAGCAAGAAAATAGCCTAAATGTTTCAAGTTAAAAAAAAAAAAAAGTTCAAAATTTATAAACAGTTTGAGTCATCAAATTGAAACTCAGATATTAAACAGCATCAAGGTTGTTGAGTGCTGTCCTATAACTGTATATGTAAAGTAACCCTTCTTTTTGGAAATTCATAGGTTATATGCTTAGGTTCCTAGATTCTTCTTATAGATCAATTATTTCACTTAATACAGTTAGGAACAGATTCACTTAGCAAAATATTGGGAACTTTACTAAATCAGTTATTATATTTAATACATTGGAGGAAAGAACAAATGTCATTAGATTCAATAGAGGTAAAAACTGTAAAAATAGAAAAAAACTACTAACAATAGCATCAAGAATATTTGATTCAAATATTAATCTCAGACAGCCATCAAATGTTTCTAGCCTTCTTACTGTGAATCTTTTATCTTTAAGTAAATATCTTAGCATTCATCAGAAATCATAAAGTATTTTTGATTTCTGTGATTACTTGTTTAATGCTTTTCTCCTCTCCAGACTATGAGATCCAACAAAGAAATTATCTATTACAATCTAGTATGCTGCAATAGTTGTAAGACAGGACTCCTAAAACAAAAATCTGTAAAATGCTTTAGTTTCCAAAGTGTGTGTGTGTGTGTGTGTATGTGTGTGTGTGTATGTGTGTGTGTTTCATTCATTACCTACAACAAGCCTGAAAAGTTAAAAGACAGGCATTATTATCCTCATTTTAGAGATGAAGAAAGAGGTGCAAGGGATTTACACAAAATCATATGTCTATTAAATGGCAGAGTCTAAACATGAACTGAAGCCATCTAGTCAAACAATTTTTCTTTTACACTAGACTACCAAAAATCTTTTTAGACATCATTTAATGCATAAGACAAGTATTATGAGAATCAATTTTATATTTTATTTAGTTTATGAATAAAACTCATATCTCACACTTTCTAAAACTATTAAGTTTGTGATCCACATTTACTCAGGACCATTAGTGCAGAAGAAATCTTAAAAATATTTTAATAAATAAATATGTAAGCTTTAAAAAATCAAATACGAAACATACACCAGGTGCTATAAAATTAACAAATATCTCAAAAATAATGCTTTGACTGATTGCAACAAACATGGATGAAAATTAAAACTAGTATTTGAGATAGAGTGCAAATGCATACCTTGAATGGTCTTGAAGACCAGCCTATCATTGGCTTCTTGATTGATTATATCATTTTCATATTCCACTGAAGTAGTTCTGCAATTGACATGTTCACAATGATAAAAATATACTGGATTTCACAATGTCAAGTACAGAAACTCTAAGTTCTTTGCTGCTCCAGACCCAAAGAAACCCTCAAAAAAGTTGGAAGAGTATAGAGTTCAACCAAGTCCCAATTTTCCTGCTGCTTTAATGCCTAGGAAAGTTGAGATAAAATCTTTAAAACCTTCCAAGAGCTACCTGTGAACATATCCATCTTTATGGTTAGCTCAATGTTCTTTAAAGACTTAATTAAAACTATTAAACTCAAAAGTTCTAACTTAAAATGTTAAAACTGCTTGCTGTTTTAAAGAAGGCCCTCAAAATAAATTCAATTTTAGAAATACAGGAAACAACAAGTGAGGATTTCCTTACTGGCAATTTGTGGGATATGGCCCTTCGTGAATGTACACTACACATAAATTATTGTCATTTTGATTCATATTTAATAACAAGAAAACACTATTCTGTGTTTGAATATGTAATGTGTGTGTACTCCTATAATTTAAAAAACTCAAAATCATTTAAAATCAGTTTTTGATTCACAGCACTATTTTTTTTACCATGCATATAATTGATCGATGAAAACTGTAAGAATACGGAATCTGAGATATGTTTTATGTTAAAAAAAGCACCACACTAACAATGTGGGAAAAATTATTATGATATACTGACATTCTATATTTTAAAACTTAATACTTTGGTAGTATTTGGTAAAATGAAAGTGTTAGGGGAAAGGCAAATTGATAAGTTATCTTTAACATAATAACATTTAAATTTTTCATTGATGATAACTGTCCCCACATATAGAATGTATTTGAGAGCCAGATAACACAGATAGATATGTTACATAGCTATGTTTAAAAAAAAACTAAATTCTAAATGTGTTGTGATAGAATCTTATTTTAAAATAATTATAAAAAATGTGTTTTGACTTACTTTCAAAATAGCAAATGTCTATTTGACTTACTTCAGAGAATCCAAAGCTATTTGATCAATATTGGTGATTCGAAGTCTAAGTATTGAGTTTTCTTTCATGCTTTCTGGAAGGCTTGGGTGATCAGAGGTCAAAAATGTCAAGGTTGCACCCTGAAGAAATGAAGAGGTAAAATATTTAAAGCTAGAAAGTATACAAGATATAAAATCCAACTAATGCAAATTTAAAATATTTGATTCAATCATACGTGACATAGTATATTTTAATAATGATAATGTATACTTGGAGAATATTTAGAAACTACACAGGTGTCAGCTAATATGATAGAAAAAACAGAAACAAATATTCCCAATTAATTAGCACAATTTTCTATCTAACAGTCCATGGAAACAAAAAAAAAAGTCACTAATGTAAGAAACCTAGAATTTTTAATAAGAATCACAGGGAAGGGCTGGGGATATAGCTCGGTTGGTAGAGTGCTTGCCTTACAATGCATAAGGCCCTGGGTTCAATCCTCAGCACCACACCAAAAAAAAAAAAAAAAAAAAAACAGGGAAAAATTAGTTCCATTTGTCAAAATTATGACATCCCTAAATAGAGAAATAGATCTATTGGTCCACAGAAAGATATAATATGAATTGATAAACTCTAACTGATGTTCTATCACCTGGTCTTTTAATGACATGTCTCATAAATAAAATCTAATCTTTACCTAATTAGAGCATCAAGATTCACTAACAAAATTCTTAAGCCACTTAAGAAAATTATTATTTAAAATTTCTGTTCATATATACGTATATCCAATATAAAGACAAACACAAATTTAAAATAATCCTTCCTATTGAATATAAAGGGAGAAATTTTCTCCTTTCTTTTTTCTTAGAACAGTTATTTTAGAACATTTTTAATTGCAATGGAAATACTTCCTCCTTTCTTTGAGATGTATATAAATTTTTTTGAAAATTAGACAGGCCTACTGCCAGTTCTCTGTCCTAGGAAAATCTTTCTGTAAAACCTGGGAACCACTTTTTGAAATGTAAACATCAAGGGCAACAGCACTCTTATCTCCCACTTTCTGTGAGAAGACAGGAGAATGATTTCCTTAGGCACCTTGCTCTAAGTGCAAAACTATCTCTTGTCACAAAGATGAAAAGTCTGTTTTCTCTGGATAAAGTCAATTAGCTAACACAGACAGCCATCCCAATTACAAGGTGACTCTAGGATGAACTATGTGTGACAAATGGTGCTGTCAAGTCCTCTTTCTGGAAGGCAAGTTCCTTGTATGCAATGGGTTATGTCTTTTTGGCTACATAAAAGGGTGAGATTTCTGTCTTTGCACTACTCTATTACCAAATTGCCTATGATATGCATTACATTCTGGCTTAATACTTTTCCAATAATAAAAGTATTTTCCTTAGTCCTTTTATGGGAGACTTTCTAGGTTTCAAATGCTATTTCCCCGACACCAGTCATGAAAGTAATCCTTAAAATATTTTTCAACTAAGAAAGTAGGAAGCAGTGATATGGAGCTTCCCAGCTAAGGCTGCAGATGGGTTCCAGATCTGCCAAGCTAATGAGTTGGGTGAATTTAGGGGCAAGCAGAGCTTCTTTGTCACCTTTACGTAGCTTCATGTTTACTTCAGTAACTGCCCAAATATTTTCACTTTTTATAGCAAAAAAAAAAAAAAGCAGCAGCACAGCCCAGCAGAAGTCAAATTAACATCCAAAGTTAAGTAGATAAATCAAAGCAGAACCATTAGAGTGGAGAATATGGTCCCAAAGTTTTGAGGCCTACTACTAACTTACAATGTGCCAAACAGAAATGATCAGTTATCTTATCATTTTGTTTATATTCATGAACATATATTAATACCACTGAACAGCTGAAAAGTAATCAAGATACAATTTAAAAGTGTACAAAGCTTTCTCCCCAATCACAGGTAGACTTATGTCTATAATTAAATATCAAACAAATTTAAAATGAAATGAAAGGATAAATTATCTCTATCAAGTTTTTCTATGACAAAAGATTACTTTAAGGCCATTTTCACATTTCCAGAGAAATCAGCACAATAATTCATCAAAATGAGAACTTAATAGATTGTGGAAAAATAATTAGAGTGAAAATTTCACAATTTTCTTGGCTACTTATTCCAGGAACTAAAATTAGACTTCCGTCTCCCAAAACACAAGACTTTACTTACTCTTTTAAGGCCATGAACCTAAAGTTCCATAGATGTGGATATTATCTAAGAAAGGTAAGCATGACATTTTTCATTTTCCAGGAAAAAAATGAGATTTTGTTTATTTTTCAAAGGCAAGATAGAAAATTTAAAGATCTAATAATAATTCTTACTTTTAGTAAAGATTTAAACATGTTTGACTATAAAACTTGGCAAATTTTACTTATATTTCAAATGTAAAGTTATACATTTATTCAGCCTCACTGACATCTGGTGAGAACTTTCAGGAAACTCATTAACAATATGCTGCACTTCTAGAACTATCAGCATGCTGGAAATAAGCTTATGCCCAACATGGCCCTTTCACATTTGTACATTCCTTCATGCAGTCTTCACTGACTAAGAATTTAGATATCCATGAACTCTTCTTTGTTTTAGTGCTCTTAACACAAAAGTTAAAATACTAAAGTTATTCCTCAGGCATTGAAGGTATACCTTAGTGATAGAGCACCTGCCTGGCATATGTGAGGCCCTGGGTTTGATACTCAGCACCAAGTGTGTTTTGTGTGTGTGTTCCTTTAAGAATAAGAATGGTTCAAGCATTAATTGAATTCAAAGATTTTAAAATTTAAACATAAGTCCATTCATTCAAAAATATTTATGCAAGTGCTTCTTAAAAATCTGTCACTTGTCAGGATATCAGATGGATTGTAGTACCCCAGATAGATAAGTAATTACTTTCAAAGAGTTATAGTCTCATGACAGAGAAAATTAATAGATTAACATATATATATACATAATATAATGTCAGATAACAGAAACTCTGAGAAAAAAGTAAGCTGAACAAATAATGAAGAAGAATAGAAGGGCTATTATAGATAACATGGTCAGATTTTACCCTTTAGCCTTCTGGGTCTTCATGATAGAACAACACTCAAAAGTTAAGAAAAACTTAAAAATGAGTGATATTCTGGGAGCAGAAAATAAAATCCAATAGATGGACTGTCAGGAATAGAAAAGAGGATGTATCTTCCTTTAGGAAGATCCAAAGAGCCTGCAATGCAGACGTGGGAGGCAGAATTATGAGAGATGAAATTAAATATTATAGTGACTTGGGTCATAATAATCCAGGAAGGATGTCTAATAGGATACAGCAGTTTAGACTGGATTTGTAATTGAAGGAAGATAAGATTAAGGTGAGAAGTTGCAGAGTCTCCTACAAATAATATCACATTAAGCAACTGAAGAGACTACGTGATATGTGTAACAGGATTATATATGTGAGTGTACGTATGTATAATTATACACGCATGCATAAGGGTCTGTGCAGTCTGTCATTGTTCTAATGCTATATTTACACATGTATGAGTGAATATATACATGAATGCACTTTTACAAGGATGTTTCTATGGGTACATGAGTATTATCTTAATTGGCACTCAAATTTCTTTTAAGAAGTGCTTTAGGAAAAAAGATCTGATAGGACATATAAAAATGAAAAGATATGTTCTATAAAAATATCTGGAAGGAAGAAGAAAATACACTCCCCAACCCTAATAAAAAATAATAGGGCTGCATATTTCTAGATAAATAAATAGAAAATTAGGGGAGTGGGAAGAGGTGGAAGAGACAGAAAATGGAGAGGAAGGACTTTACCACAGAAAAGTACCCAAGGGATAATTTTAGGAATAGAAATTTCCAGTAGTAATTCTAAATTGTTTATATTGTTACAATATAAACCTCCCTAAATGTCTCCTTTGAAATGTTTGCCATACAGACAAGGAATCATAAATGTGGTTTATGCATGTATGCCTGACTTTCTTTTTCCTTTTCTCTCCTTCCTTCCCTCTCTCCCTCCTTCCTTTCTCTCATGGAAATCAAAAGGAAGCAGATTTCCACACCTGGGTTAAAGTACTGTGGAATGGGGATGGTGAGAATAAATCATAAACTACAACAAATTTTTGGATATGGCAATTCAGAGCAGGCAGTACCTGTAATCTTGGGATGGGCATTAAACATCTTTACCTCCTGAATACGTTTTTATTTTTCTAAGTAGCTTTGTGGATACAACCTTTTGCTTAATTCAGGTTGCCACAACTTCTCTCCTAGATTATAGAATTCAATCCAATTCAGGCCTCATGTACACAGTCTTCAACCCATTCCACACAGTGTAATCAGAGAGATTTCTCTAAATTATAAACATGACAACGTCACTTTCCCCCATTCTTCCCACTTCTTTTCTTTGAATGACTCCCTGATGAATTTCACATAATTCTTTTACATAAGACTACTTTCAACAAACTCGACTTTTCCCTTGACAGCCCCCACCTTGAACTCTATTCCAACCAGACCGAACTACTTTTAGTTCTCCAAATAATCCATGTTCTTTCTTGCTTTTGTCCTTTGGTTGAGCTGTCTCCTTTCTTTACCTAGAAGCCTTTCCATATGGGTATGTTCCCATCCCAGTTGAAGTAACTCCTAGTTAAGGTTAGAGGACACTTTCTCCAGGAAATATTCTCTGGCCCCCACAAACCTGGGTCATTAGTCCTCCTATTTGGCCCCATATTATCCCTCCCGTTCTGACTTTGTTTCTCATCAGATAATAAGTGACACAAAAGCAGGGAACAGATCTAACTTTTCCACGGGTCTATATCCAGTGTTTAGCATATGCATATATATTTATCAAATGAATGATTACTATGGACAGTGCTTTATTTTATTCATTATATAATGTGTGAATTTAATGATAGGCAAGGTTTTAGGTTCACTCCCCAACACTTCAATAAATAATAAATAACATTTCAAAGTACTACATAAATTATAGCATCTGTGATCCAAAAGAAAGAAACCCTTCCATTTCACCAGTGCCAGAAGTTTTTCAAGAAGTGAAACTCAAAAGAACAGGTTACCAATGATATGACAGGTCCAGAGGCCACTGCACCTCTACAGAGGAAACCAGGCACCATCAGGGAACACGGCTCTAGCTGAAGCATTACTGCTTATATTATTGAGGTGGCCACTTATCCAAGGATATAACCCTGTATAGATTTTTAAAGTATTAAAAGACAAGCTCTCCTGAATAAAACTACATTGTAGAATGGTTGGGATTATGGTAAATAAATGCTATGCTTAGATTCAGGCCACTGATATTTGGGCCTGAGAAGCAGAACCCTCTGAGGAAACATCAACCATTAGCCCATTCACGCAAATGTCTCTGCTCAATAAAAAGGAAAGGAAAAAAACCTCAAGACTAGAAGCTCTGCTCCTGTGCTCCCAGAGGGACTCCACATAATCCAACATCTGGTATTAAACACTTGCACACAATACTGGTAACTTACAATATAAAAATCACCAAGTTGGTATGGTTTTCCTTTTCTTCGTCCACTCTGATGACTATAAATGTTTTTTTGAATAAAAGGAAGCACATTTGTTCTAGAAGTTAGATGAAAAAAAAGAAGTAAAGTTATTCAGTTTCTCCCAGAAATAATTATCTTGAGAGTTCTAACAATGTTTGATGACATACCTGTTTTTCCCAAATTGCCGATACTCATACATTGTCAGAGACTGGTCATGAGTGAAAAAGAACCCAATAAGTTCTCGGCAGGCCTCACGTCCATTTCTGGAAGAGAATGACAGCAAGGTTTTCAAACAGAATAATTTTTAAATTAATTGTAAACTAAAACTGTGCATCTCAAGAGGGGATAATATAAACCTGAGTTTTGGCAAGGAGGGAAGGTTATGGGAAGCTATAGGTTTCCACACCACAGCTTGCAAGTTAAATGTGACTGAAGAAAAAGATACTTTCCTTATGCAGATATAAGTATGGCTATGTCACGCTGTAGATTACTAATTCAACACAGATGTTTAACCAAGTAAAACATCTTATAAAATACTGAATTTGCAAGATGACACTCAAAGACATGCATTTATTATCTTTTATTTTCATGGATAGGCTTAAAATCACTGAAAGGTATTATAATTTTAAAATGCACATTTTGTCAGAAATACACACAAAAAATCAAGCAGCATTATGTATTAATGGAATTTTATAAGACTGAGATAACAGATCCAAAAATCATCTTCCTTGTCATTTGCTCCATCAATAATCTACTGTTAACTAAAACCATTAAAATTACATAAAGTATCTTACATAGAAGTTAAGACAAGTAATATAGAACCTTCTAGTAGTAATATATGTATTATAAATTCACTTCTAAGTTTCTTTTTAAATGATATTTTAAATTACTTTTTAGTCCTCAATAGACCTTTATTTTATTTATTTATATGCAGTGCTGAGAATCAAACGCAGTGCCTCATTCATGCTAGGCAAGTGCTCTACCACTGCACCAAACCCCAGCCCTTAAATTACTTTTTAAATAACTTTTAATTAAGATATTTTTCTTAGAACTTCATATTTCCTATATTTTCTATAACAGATTAATAGCTATAACCTAAAAAATGTATTTTCTAAATTCATGGTTTCTCACTTAAATAGTACAAATTTGTACAATCTCATTATTGTTTCTAGGTGAAAAGAGAATATACCTTTATAATCATAAAATTAAAAATTTAATATAATCACAATTACCTCGATATGATCCTACCATCAAATTGTACTTTATGAGAAAGCACATTTTCAGTTAATGTAGAGTGGGTTCTTATCCTGTTAAAAAATATATTTTGTCAATAATTTTTTAAAGTACTATATTTAAAATACATGATAAATATACAGAAAGATTATGGTAATGGTTTGGAGCATCATATATTAGATAAAGATAGGAAATTCTTTCAGATGGCTCATGTACCAGACACAGAAGAAATCACTGATGTAGTACGTAACACACAAATGACTTTTATATTAGAATCCATGGTATCAAAGTGCTATAGAAGTGAATACTGAATACAGAAGACACATTTTTGACTGGCACTGGACCACCTGAAAATTTCTAACTTTCCTCTCCTCCGCTTCCCTTGGACCAGAGAATTTTCTTGCTTAGCTGTGGAGGCCACCTGTGAATTATTTGAGCTGATTTGAGCGTCTTCACTCAGCCTTGAGCCAGGGAGACTTAGGTTTGGCATTGCAAACTATTTTGTGGTTCCTCCCACTCAATGGATTGCACAAGGCACATGACCTCTGTCTTTGCTTGGCTACTGAGACCGCTCTCATAGGTCCAGAGTTGGGTGCAACCTACTGGAAACTGGACAGCACACCTCCTATCTTATTTGGCCAAGAACATTCCATGGAAAACCTTTGATGCTTCCCCCATATAAGTAAAGCATGCACGGGCTCTTTTGCTCTCTTTTCAGGGTGGAAGCTTGATCCCTAAGATCGGAGAGCTGAGTTTTCTCCCCATCCTTCCTAAAATTACTTCCTGTGTCCTGTAGTTTCTTCACCGTTTTCTCTTTGCTTTATTTCGCAGCAAGCGAAATATTACACACAGAGGAAACCCAAATTCCACTGCCCGCGTGGGTCTGGGGTGAGACTTAGCCTCTGCAATGTAGGGGTGACTAAGAAACTTAGTTTTGCCGATGAGCTTCTAGGGAGAGTTTCATTTTTTTTGGATGAGACAGTAGCCTGAAAAGAGATCCTGCTTGTGAACATGAAAGGGTATTAGTGCCAGGAGCCACGACAGCCATCAAGCATCCATGTCAGAAGGGCCAGTAAGATCTAGGAAAGTCAGTCCAAGGTCACAACATCACTGAGCCAGTAGTCAAAACCAACCAATAACTGCCTCCAAGAAGTCAATATATAAGAAAAATAAATCTTGACTCATTTAGCCATTATCAGTCAGGTTTTCAGTTATGGGAAGCTGAAAGTATTCCTTTCCAAAATAACACAGTGGGAAAGAGTGCTGGATGAAGTTCAAGTCTTGAATTAAGTCTATTGGTTACTTAATCCTTATAGTCTTCAGATAAAACTAAATGATCTCATAAAGTGTGCCAGCCCTAAAACTGTTTAAAAATATGAAACAAATTTCAAATGCACACACTTTGGCACACTATAACTAATATCCTTTTTCTTAAGAGATTTGAAGATTTCAATGATGTATCATTAGTACTCTTCCCAAATAATTTAATATTTTTCCAATAAAACTACAGGTATAATGAAATAGCAATAATATAAATTGTGTGTGTGAGATCATGAAAAGCAGTTCCTCTATACTTCTAGGTCTCTACAAAAAAGGAAGCAGGAGATAGAAAACAACAGCCTGCAGATCAAATGAGAATTTGTGAACACATAGAGGAGACAGGCAAGCTTAGTCCTCCCAATTCAGTTTAATCCACTGTCGTTAATGTATCTATTGAATGCTCACTACATGTCAGGAACAATTCTAAGTGCCTAGAAAATAACAGCAATAACAGCCACCGTTTATTGAGGACTTCCTAGAAACCAGTCAATGGGAAGTCATTTTAATGTGCATTAGTTTATTTAATGTTTACAATAACTCTGTGTGGTAAGTACTATTGTCCCCATTTAAAAAACAAATTTACAGAGTCAGAAATAGGTTAAGTAAATTGCCCAAGGCCATATGATTAGTAAATGGCAGAGCCAGAAAAAAGATTGCTCTTAATCATTGTATTACATGGCTTCTCAGCAGTGAACAGAACTCTCTTTAATGGCAATAGGTTGTAGTAACAGCATCAAGGAGCCTAGAGTCTCCTTCAAAAGATAAAAGAAGTAAATACACTGAAACTATTAAATGCAAAGTGCAATGTTGGGTTTTAGGTGCCCAAGAAGAAGCACAAACACTTTTCTCTATCCAAGTTCTGAAACAATAATGAAAGAAGACCATGCATATAGAACACCAAATATGAATTTTATAAAGCTGTTGGAAACCTTGTCTTAGGTATGCAACAATAATAAGCTAAGTCCTTAACTCTACAATGAAAAAGACTAACCCGCTTATTTCCATTAAAGGTGGATCCTGTAAAAATTTAATGTCTAAGGTAAAATGTGTGCTTCTGCAGATAGCTGTTCCCAAGAAAAAGGGGAGAGAAGAGGCTGCCCTCACATACCAATCCCTGCTTCTAAATTTATGCAGAGTTCTTTTCTCCTGGAAGAAGGAAAGAGAGGATGAAATCTATAAATTCAATAAATCTAATCATTGCACCTATAAGATTTTTCATGGAACTAGATTACCTTTAAGCAAGATTTAGGTATTTACTTTAATATAAAGAATACCAATTAAGATAGGTACAGGGAAACAATAGATGAGATAGAAGAAAAGGTCTAGAAATCATTTATCCAATGTCACATATGAAACAGTGACATTATAAGAATGAAAGTGACTTTGTGGTAGGCATATTTCTTAAAGACACAAATTTATATATATATATATATAAAAACACATATATAAACACATATATCCATGTATACATATACACACATATATATGAAAAGATTGGTAAATTGGTTAAAATTCATATAAGAATATCAGGATGGTCAAAAAAAAAAAAATATATATATATATGAAAAAATACTCAACTTTATTAGCCTCTCATGAAATGCAAATTAAAATCACCAGTGCACATATATAAGAAGAACTAAAATGAAAAAGATGGACAATACCAAGCACTGAAAAAATCTGCTGCAACTAGAGCAGGGTGTGGTAGTGTACACCTGTAATGTCAGCAGGAGGTTTAGGCAGGAGGATTGCAAGTTCAAAGCCAGCCTCAGTAATTTAGTAAGGCCCTCAGCAACTTAACAAGACTCTGTCTCAAAAAAAAAGAAAGAAAGAAAAGAAAAAGAAAAAGGAAAGGAAAGGAAAGGGAAGGAAGGAAGGAAGAAAGGAAGGAAGGAAGAAAGAAAGAGAGAGAAAAGAAAAATGTATAAGGCCTAGGGATGTGGCTCAGTGATTAAGCACCCCTGGGGTTAGATCCCCAGTACCCAAAAAAATGTACTGTAACTACAATGTAAATTGCATCTAATGTAAATTGCATCAATTAGCTTGAAAAACTATTTACCAGTATCTTTTAAAGCTAACATGTGCATACTAAATTGTCCAGTAATTCTAAGTATTTATTCGGCATAAATGAGTACATATGTTCACTAAAAGGCATGCACAAATAAGTTCATAGCTGCACTATTCATAGCCAAATATTTATCAACATCTAAGAATAAATAGTGGCATATTTGTATAACAAAATACTGTATAACAGCAATGGGGAAAACTATTAATAGCAATATGGATAATACAATGCTGAATAAAAGAAGGCAGATAATCAATGACTGATATTAGGGGAAGTAAAAGAAGGTAGACACAGAGTTCAAATTTTGTGTTTTCACTTATATAAAGCTCATAACCAAGCAATTCTAATCTATGATGTTAGGATACAAAGGTTCACCTGGCATGAGAAAGAAAGTGAACAGTAACTGGGGAGCAGCATGAGAGGGTTTATAGGGTCCTGATCATGCTTTGTTTTTGATCTAGGAATTTGGCACATGAGTATTTTGGTTTGCATAATCTTATGCTGTACAATTAAAATTTGTGCACTTTGTAAAGTGTATTTTATTTCAATAAAAGTTTAATTTAAAGGGTAAGTTTAGATGTATGGTAGATAAATGATAGCCCCCAAGGATATTTATATCCTAATGCTTAGAACATGCAAATACTTTACATAATAAAAGAGACAAGGTTGCTTGTAATCCCAGCAGCTCAGGAGGCTGGGACAAGAGATTGCGAGTTCAAAGCCAGCCTCAGCAAAGAGTAAAGTACTTAAGCAACTCAGTGAAACCCTGTCTCTAAATAAATATAAAATAGGGCTGGGGATGTGTCTCAGTGGTCAAGTGCCCCTGAGTTTAATTCCCAGTAGTCCCCACCACCAATAAAAGATAAGGCCTGTGAGGCTCTTAAGATATGGAATTTACCAGGTTTACCCAAGCATGTTCAATGTAATTACACTAATCTTTATAAGAGGGAAGCAAAGAGAGAGATGTGTCCATAAAAGAAGAGTGTCAAAGTGAGGTAGCATAAGAAAACTCTGACCAATCATTAATGGCTTTAAAGATGGAGGACAGGGCCATAAGTCAAGGTATTAAGGCAACCTTGAAAAACTGCACAGTACAAGGAAATGGATTGCCCCCTGAAACTTAATCCAATCCTGCCAACACCTTAATTTTAGACTATTCACTTCCAGAACTGTAAAAGAATAAATCTGTTATTTCAACATACTAAATTTGTTGTAATTTTTTACTTAAGTTCAAACAGAATAATATATGATACTTTGAAATATTTAAATATATGGAAGCAAAGGCTTTCAGAAAATTAAAACGAGAAAAAAAGATAAAAGTAATAGGAAAGTACAAAGATAGCAGACTGAAATACAAAACAGCTACTGTAGATCCTGGTAGATTTTCTGTCTATTAAAACTGAGTCTACAAGACAACTGTCTGTGAAGTTGCTAAGGAATTTAAGCGCAGTGAACTATATTGGTCCATTTCAGTTGTGATACTTTGGATCTGAAAGGTACCACAGAAGACCATATGATAAAGGTACATTCCCCAGCTCATGGTGCTATTGTGAGGTGGTAGAATATTTAAGAGGGGTATCCTAGATAGAGGAAGTTATGTCATTAGGAGTGTGTCCTTGAAGAACCCTACTGGACCCTGGCCCCTTTCACTACCCCACCCCACTTTTCTGTTTCTCAACTGCCACACTCCTGCTGTAAAGTACTGTGCTGCCACAGGTCCAAGCCACAGAGCCAAGCACTATCAGCTGAAACTATGAGTCAAAATATGCTTTTTTTTCCTTATTAAGTTCATTATTACATAAAAGCTGATTAACACACCAACCTAAAGGTTTTTATAACACACAAAGTAAAATTAAAAAATAATTAGAACTGATATTAATTTTATGATACTTGGACAGAATATATTGCACAGATACAGATGTCTGAGCTACTCTGTTATGTATTTTCACATATTATTCCTAAAGGTTATGTAAATTTTCCCCTAAATTATAATTAAAAAATTATAGGGCAAAAGGGGTATAATAAGGTATGGTTTCCAACATCTTAAGGTGGCAGAACTGTGATCTGGACTCCAAAAATTTCACTTACCTTTATATAATAAAAAAGCAAAAACAAATAAAGCCTTTTATGTTACCCAGAGAGATATATTTTAATAATTCATTGATAACATAGTGCAACCTCATTTCATATAATTAAAATCTTACTTTGTTTCATGTAGTGTTCTTTTCCTAAGTCGAAGAGGATAAGTAGTTTCTTGTTTCTCAGTGGTTACATTTTGCTCTGGATCACTGATGACAGCCCTACACAGGAAAATATGAAGTCTAATAATCAAGGTGATAATGCATTACTCTAGCATTCATATATTTTTAAGCAGCTGGAAAAGATCAAACACTAAATGAAATTTAAATCACTATTAGAATAACATTTTGCCAGAAATGAGTAAATTTAATTATTAAAAATATTGGCCATAAAAATTGAATATTCCTATCTCTTATTCCATAATTATTGTCTAAAAATAAATTGAAATTTTGAAGGATGCTAAGTGCTTCATGTCTTTCTTTTACTACTCTTTAAACAAATAGATACTACACTGGTTTCTGATAGAGGAAAACACTGGTAAAGAATATAATAAGAATAAAAATGCAACAAGAATAAAGTAATGAGTACTATAATAGAAATTCAACGGGCAAACAGAAGATGACTTAAATCCTGGAAAAGAATATATAAGAAAGATTCCACCAAAGCCCTCAAAGAAGAGATGTCCGCACTACCTCTGAAAAGGTTAGTAGAAGTAGCTGTTCAGAGGAAAGGGAGTCAGGATATCAAGAGAAGAGCAACAACAAATACAAGGCCGCAGGAGTAGAGCAGCACAGCACACGTGAGCAGCTGCACAGAGGGCAGGGATAAGAACACACACTCTGGGGCTGGAATACCTGGGTTCAGCCCTTGCCTCTTCCAGAAATTAGGCGTGTGGCCTTATCTAGTCTTTTGACTTTAGGGTACAGTTTCTTCACTCATAAAAGAAACAATAATGAGCTGGGCATGGTGACACACTCCTATTATCCCAGTAGTTAGAGAGGCTGAGGCAGCAGGATCACAGGCTCAAAGCTAGCCCCAGCAACTTAGCAAAATTCTAAGCAACTTAGTGAGACCTATCTCAAAATAAAAAATAAAAAGGGCTGAAGAAGTAGCTCAGTGGTTAAATACCTAGTTCAATCCTCAGTACCAATAATAATAATAATAATGATAATAATAATAATAATAGTACCTCTTTCAAATAACTATTATGAAGATTAAATAAATTAGTTAATACATATTATTTAGAGGAGTGTCTATCATCTAGTGTTAGTGAAGTGCTCACTCACTGAGCTTATGCCTCCCTGTTCCCATTTTATTATGTTCTGCCAAATATGAAATATGAACAAACACAGAGTCATGACAGGCTATTAGGTAACACTGCAATAGGCTAGAAAAAAGATAGCAAGGTGGCATTAAAAATAGATGCAATATAATGGATTTGAGAAATACTGGAAGAACTAGGAGATTGACTGGCTTTAACATCGTTAAGTAGAAAAATCTACCGTAATCTTACAATGTGAAAGGAGTTTCATTTAATAATGTAAGGAATATGGGAGTCATATTACAGTTTTGGTTTGTCATTATTGGTAATAGTATTTTAATGGCAGAAAGGTAATCTATCCTTACTTCTGTCTTTACCCAAATACAAATTTATATAATCCTTAACAACCTTGTTGCCCTCTCTTTTTTTCCTATTTCCCTGGCAAAACCCCAAGTCAGAGTGAATTGATGATGAACTGGTTAAAAGAATAAATACATAAGCCTTTTTGAAAAAGGTATCATGAGTCTTCAAAAAATACAAAGATAAACAGCAAGTCAGAGATAGAAGAATTTATGAATTTTTTCAGTTTCTTCAATTGCTTAAACATTCAGGAAAAGCTTTAAGCATTTCTACCTTATACTGTAGGTACTTTCTATTTGTGTGCCAAGTTATGAACCAAACAATTTTAAGCTGAGTATAAAGATAATTTTTTTTTAATTTTCCTGGTGAAGAAGGCTGGCATTTACCAAAAAATGGCACCTATTCTGTTCTCACACCTTCACAGGTATCAGTTCTATGTTAAATAGACACATAAAGAATGTTAGAGTTATAGAAATCTTAAATGTTCTTTTGGAAGAGGCTAAAATCAAGACATACAGAAGGAAAATACGAAGGCTCAAAAAGTAATTTTAGTCACATAGCTAAACATAAAATTCAGTTCTGCTGACTTAATTAGTCCCTTTTTCCAGTTCATTCGTTCATTTGCCCATTCAGCAAGTACTTAGTGTACAGATACTCCACTAGGGAACAGAAATGCAGCAAAAATGAACAAAACTTCCAAAGAGACTGGCTTTATGGAGCACGCAGACAATTAACATGATGAATAAGTAAAGTAAGAGGTAAATTACATATTGATAATTCCCATGGAAGGAAAAACAAAGTAGTAAGAGGCTATAGAGTTTTGAGTAAGGGAGTTATAACTTCTTATTTGGTAGCCAAGGTAGATCTCAATAAGGTGACTTCTAAATAAAGGTAAAGTGAGCAAGCAGCAATATGGATTTATGGGGAAAATGCATTCTAAGCAGAGAGGAAAATATATGCAAAGTACCTGAAACATTAGTAGAACCTGATATGTTCCAGAGCAGGGAGCAAGCCAGAAGGCTGGAGTAGAGTAGACAGATGAGAGGAGCAGGACTCCAAAGTCTAACAGTAAGCAGATCAATGGTAGGACTGAACACTATATTACTGGCCCCAATTTTTCAGCACTCCTGATTCACATCCTTAACATGGCTTTATTATAAGTGAAATGTACTTCCTCTCCCCTTGACTTTGAGCTTAGCCACTTGACCTCCTTTGGTTAATTATATATAGTTGGATGATTCTGCTAATCTTAAATGCACTGATTCATGCAAGTGTGGATGATCTACAATGATATACAAAATCTGCCAATCTACAATGGTCCAAGCTAAATAGTCCCTCTGCATTTATAGAGGAATCTTTTACTTGAGACTATTTGGCTATCCAAGTATTGTTCTGCTCTCATGTATGGTAGATGCACAAGAGGGTAAATTGAAATATATGAGGTCTCTTACAACCTAAGCTCAGAATGATGTGATCATTTATTTTGTTCATATATAACTGGCCAGAGGAATAAATAAAATCCATCCATCTAAGCCAAGTCTGGACAGCAAATCTAAAGACACATTAGCAAAAATTAAATGCTGTTTTTTTCTTGAGAGAGAGAGAGAATTTTTTAATATTTATTTTTAGTTTTCGGTGGACACATCTTTATTTTATTTTTATGTGGTGCTGAGGATGGAACCCAGCACCCCACAAATGCCAGGTGAGCACGCTACCGCTTGAGCCACATCCCCAGCCCAAAATGCTGTTTTTTTTAAGCTCCTAAAAATTACTTATACTTACATATAAGCATTGTAATTTTATTATTATTGGTTTGGTTTAATTACTGGATGGTTTGATCTGTCTTAATAATTTTAATAATTTCATTCTAGCTGCTGGGTTGAGAATAAATCTACAAGAGGCAAATGCAGACACAATAAAAGCAGTTAACAAATAAATGAAATAATCCAGGAGATAGAAGGTAATGGTTGAAACAAGGATGGTGGCAAAAGAAGGAATAAATTTATTTTAATGGTGGAACTGAAAAATGTCTGCTGACAGACTGGATATAGAATTTGAATGAAAGAGATGAGTTAAAGGCAACACCAGGATTTAGACCTAAATAATTTCAAGAATGGAGTTTCCACAGAGGAAAATTAAAGAGGACTGGGTCACGCAGAAGAACCCAGACTGGAAAATAAAATTGTTAAATTGAGATCTTAAATTAGAGATGCATCAGGATACAGAATGTTTTTAAGAGCATGATTCTAGATGAAATCACTAGGAGGCAAATACAGAAAACGTCCTAGGCAGTGCCATATTTAAAGACTGGGGAGACGAAGAAGAACCAGAAAACAATTAGGAGTAGAAAGTAGGGGGAAAAAACAGTCAAATGTGGTGAGCAGGAAGTCAGTAGAGAAGAGAAAAAAGTGTTTCAAAAAGAAGTAAGCTTTCAAGGGAGCCAGTGTTGCTGATGGGGCAAGTAAATGAGAACTGAGAAACCACCATTTGTCTAGCAATACGGATGTGACTACTTACCTTATGAAGAGAATAAGGTAGTAGAGGTAAAACATAAGTCAAGTCCATGGGATGATAGACTATAAAATAATTGTTTCAAAGAACTTACTGAAAAAATATGCTTGTAGGATTATCATTCTTTCCGCTTCCTAAATAAACAACTTTTTCAGGTTGATCTTAAGTCTTACTTTTTCCTTGAAGAGTTCCTGCATTAGTCCAGCCTCTTCTAAAATCTTACCATATTTACAAGCTGTCATACTATTTAGCACTGCATGTAATAGAATTTTATATAGTTTTCTAAGGAGCTTTTAAATTCTTGAAGGTTACTCTCACAGTTCTCAAACTGCATAGGGGAACTGTGGGATATTAATTTTTAAGGGAAACAGGCATTCGCCATCTTTTGGATATCATATAAACTACTAGCTGAAAGTAGCTGACAGCTTCAACACAGGATTATGTTATTCTTTCTTCAATGATGTTACATCTTTACAAGAGTTCTCTACAACCACTGTAATAAAAAAGCAAATATGTGAAAATCAATGCAGAATAGAAAGTGATCCTAAATGATTCTAAGATTTAAGAGATTGTTCAGTGCTTAAAAGATGTTTACAACCCATTAGTAAGCAACTGTGACAATTTAAGAATGAAATAAATATATTTTCTTCTAATTTATCAGCATCATTTTTTCATGTGGCCACAAAGTTGTTAGGAAATAGATACTTAGTAAGTTGTTTAGAAAAAAGTTCTTAATAAATAGAACTATTATGTATTTCTATTGGTCTAAGGGTGCTCTGAAAAAAATTACTAAGACACTAAGAGTGCAATGAAGAGAGAGCTTGGGAACCTCTAAGTCAGCCATGCCTTGAGTGACCAGGGACATGTGTATCATGCATGAAAACGAAATTCAATGAAAACTTTTGGAATGGATTTCTATTACCAGTTACTAACTCTCACCTAGATAAGTGGTCAATCATCATTTGCTCTGTGACGGTCTGTTTCTTCTTCTCTGCAGCCACAATTTCCTGAGAAGATAAAAATAAAAACATTTTTATTATCCATAAGGCAGAAGAATTAATACCAAAATCCTAAAAAAATAAACATTTCTAATGTTGCTCTTAAATACAGATTGTTATCCATCATTAACATACTTAAGCTTTAATTATTTAATCTTAACTTACCACTTTCTAAAAAGTAAAGCACTTAAATTTCAATACAAATCATCAGACATTTCCAACAAGCTATGGAGTCAGAATAAAGGGAAAGAAGGATATGACATGCCCCCCCCTTATTACTCCCAATAAGACATGTCCTACCAAATGTATCTTAACCTGCTACAAGAATACCAATACAGAAACAAAAAGAGTGCAGTCTAAAACTATTCACAGTTGAAGAGGCTGAAACTGAAATAGAATCATTCAACTTTACATCAAAAATCTAAAACTGAAATAGGCATGGTTGTGCATGCCTGTAATCTCAGCAACTGGGGAGGCTGAGACAGGAGGATTGCAAGTTCAAGGCCAGCCTCAGCAACTCAGCAAAACCCTAAGCAATTGAGCAAGACCCTATCTCAAAATAAAAAATAAAAAGCACTACGGATACAGCTCAGTGGTAAAGCACCCCTGGGTTTAATTCCCAGTTAAAAAAAAAAATCTAATATATAACAAAAGAATTCCCATCTTTAAAAGGAAGATAATCTTTTCTATGTCTGTCTTATGGTTTCAGTATGAGGTGTCCCCCAAAATGTTTCTATGCTAGTGGAGGAATGTTCAAAGGTATCATGATTGAACTGTGAGAGCTGAAACCTAGTCAGTCCATCCTAGTTTGAATGACTGAGTGGTAGCTATAGACAGGTGGGTGTGTGTAGAGGAGGTGGGTTACTCGGCCTGTGCCCTAGAAGAGTGCTTCTTCTTCCCTGGAGCTCCGAAACCATGAGCCCTAATAAACTTTTCCTCCTCTAAGTTGTTCATGTCAGGTATTTTGGTCACAGTGAGGCAAAAGATGACTATAATAGTATATAATACCTTAATAGTATCTAATCAATTTTCCTTAATTACTGGTTTTATTAAACTGTCTTCATACTATTTTTTATTTTTCCAACTCATCTAAAAGCATTTTTACTACTTTTTAGGTCATATCAAATTGGAAGATTTGCAATCATTCAATTCTAATTAGAGATTACACAACTATAAACACTAAAATATTTCTTTAGGGGAAAAATAAAAGAAGTTAAAAATTAAGAGGTCAAAACAATGCATGTCCTATTCTTAGAATATAGTTACCATATCTCTATTATTGACTCTAATAAAAAAAAATCAACCAAGATAATTTTGTTTAAGACAGAGGCTTTGCAACTTCAGGGAAGGTGTTCAATTTAAAACTAACACAAAATATCAAGTAAAAGCATATTATAAAAATAAAAAGTGAAAATTTCTATGAATGTTTATATAATAACACTGGAAAAAGTGGCCATTATTATATAAACATTAGCCTATAATTGAATTTAGTGTTTTTTAGTAGAAATTTAAGATGTATTGTTTACATATCCAAAAATACCCAAAATAGCTTTTATATCTTTTAATACATGACTGTTTCTTATGCTATTCTCTAAGTTCATAACACACTATAATGATTTTTTATTTAACAGTAAATTTAAAATGGCAATTAAAAAAGAAAATTATATAACTCACAGCTAAAGCAAAGAGTATTTTATAATACTTGAGGATGATTCAAAAAGCAGACAGTAAAACACATTGAAATTATATACAGAAGAGATCCACTCCAGCCAGAATGTAGATGAAAAACTCAAAACCTAGACAAAGACGAAGATTAATGACTCTCCTAGAGCCCATGCAAAGGGCCACCTTCAGTGCTAAAGTTCATGGTGGTTTTTACTTTGTAGGGAAGATTGGAACCACCCTCAGTCACATTGATTTAGAGGTTTGTGAAAGCATAAAGCAGATTAGAAACAGAAGTCACAGGAATACAAAAGAGCTGACAACACTGAAAAATAACAACAGCACCAGGAGAGGGGCATAAAAACCATAGTGTCACTACTTGTTGTTCCTTTAAGTAGCTAAAGAAGTTTGTACCTCCATCTTTAAAACACATTGGTGATCATTTCAAATGTCTGAAAAGCCTACTCATATCCACATTGCCATGGAGAAACAAAACAGATAAACAAGTACTACAGCAAAAAAGCAACTCAAATTACTTGATGGTCAATTTATATACATCGCCACTAATAATGTCAATTCAAAGAAAAGAAATATACTACCACCCGGATGGCTTTGGGTTATACCAAGAATAATACCCAATGGACCCTAAGTATAGGTGATATCCATCTCAAATACAACTTCAGAAAATAAACCTTATTGGGGACACTATTTTGCCTCATAATTTTGTTATTTTTACGATGACCCAAGTAATACTACTAAGCATAAATATGTGAATAATAATATGCATAGAAAACTACATGCATGTGATTTTAATGGAAGAACTGCAATAAATTTGAGACATCCACAGACTGTTAGCCTGACTGATCCAGAGATTAATTACACATCATTATCAATTCATAATATATTGATTCTAGATGACTGCAACTCAAGTTAAAAAAAAGTATATACACATACACACATATATATACACACACAATAGTTTATCTATACAATTGTATGTGTATATATAGTGTGCATACATAAACATATGTATATATATTGTGAATATATATATCTATGTATATACACAGATATATGTATATATATTGCATATATATGTTGTGTGTGTATATATATATTTTTTAATGATAATGTAAAATGTAACTAGCTAAATCCATGTTGCTTTATTATTATTTGGGTTATCTAAGCCAGAGCTTTCCCATCTCGTAAGCAGAATCACAACACTCGTATTGCATGACCTTTTCAGGATGTCTAAGATACTAATCACCTGGGGTTCTAGGGGATGAGCACACTCCACCTTCAAGCAGTTTGGTCCCCTTACCATGGGATACTACAGAAATATTATACTTACCTGTGTATACCAGAACTGGTCTAAGCACCACCTATCAATCTATTTAACTGTTAAAAATACAAACTCGAAAGTTAATATTGAAAGTCTGGAGTTTTGCTTCAATTTTATTAAAGAAAACATCTTTAATTCCTGGCTTTTTCCACAACTGGCAGAATCTCTGTAATGATAGTAGCCTATGAATTTCAAAACAATAACTAGGCATCTGTTTGAAGGGAGGATGTGATACCAAATAAGCCCACTAACATAAAAAGTGGCCAATTAATATTTTGAACAATATAAACTAAATTTTTGTAAATAAAATGCAAGACACTTTCCACAGAAAATATACCAAACACAAGTTAATCATTTATAAAAATAACAGCTCAATTTATACATCAATGAATACTCATCTCAGTCCAAATTCAATTGTTGCAATTTTTCTAAGTCTGTAAACTCTTGGAGGGTAATGATCCTAATGACTTATCATATAAGAGAGTGCTGAAGCCTGACCGCATCTGATTTCCTTGCGTTGTGCTGTACATGTTGAGAGTTGTGCACATAGTCACTCTGCAAGAGGGCTTTCCTATCCAGAGTTGTGAGGTCATCCAAGCTGTTTTCTTCACCCTGTATACACTGTATAACGAAGCAATAAATGGACCATTATATACATATTTTGAATATTTGTATTTTTACAAAATAATCAACTAGATAATGACTAAATACCTCAGAGATTACTTTTATAGGAGTTTTATAGTACAAACTATGACAATCTGATTGCCTCTCTTTGAATCCAGCTCTTCTACTTTATCTTTGTGCCTTGGTTTACTCAGATAAAATAGGAACAATAGTAACTACTTGACCAAAAAGATTAAATGAGATGGTACATGCCCAATTCTTATAAAGAGTACCTGACTAGTCAAGCGCACTGGCACACACCTGTAATCCCAGAGTCTCAGGAGGCTGAGGAAGGAGGATCACAAGTTCAAAGCCAGCCTCAGCAAAAGCAGGGCTCTAAGCAACACAATGAAACCCTGTCTCTATAAATAAAATACAAAATATTTTCCTTGGTACCCAGCCACCCCCCCAAAAAAAATTACATGACAAACTAAACATTAAATAAGAGAATGATTTTAACTATTACTGTCCATGTTGAGTTATTGTGAAATTAATAAATTAAATTCAGAACCAAAATACTAAAATATGGTAGTATTCTCTAAGGTAAAGAATTCTTTGGGATTGTCAAAAAGACAGAACGACAAATTTTTCTATGAATATGAGATATACTTATAATGACTTAACTAAAAAAAAGTTTCATTATGATAGCAACTTGTCAAAAACTTAACAAACTTCAAGAATTTTTATCCTATGGATTATTCTTACTTTAGATCTTCCCGAAAGATCACGCTTCAACTTCATACTCTGCTCTTTCTTCATGACCTTTGGTGGGCTACATGAAATTTTATTACATATGTGTTCATGATTTATTGCCTGTGTCTTCTATTATAAGCTCCATGAGGTCAGGAACTTTTGTCAATTTTACTGCTGTATCTCTGGTGCTAGAAAAGCATTTACTACTGGGAAATCAATCTATGAGAATATTGAATAGTCTGATTTATTTAACTGACAATATAATTCTTTTCCCCAAATAATGATTTATTTAAATGGGCACCAAAAAGATGCTTAGCATTAGACAAAATAAACAAAGTAATTTAGTAGATACATTTAAGCATAAGCAAAACTTTTTTTCACCTTGTTTTTAACACTTTACCAAAGGAAAGCAATGAGTGATATTTCTACTTGATACATCAAATTTAACCTCCCCAAATCATACTTCCATATAGTCTTTCCTCAACTCTACTGAAGGTCAACTGCTTAGGCCAAAAGGCTCAGAGGAATTTTTTCATTTTAAATTATTTAATTGATAAAATTGTGTACATTCAAGGTATATGATGTGATGATTAGCTATACATATACATGTGTAATAATTACCACAACCAAACTCATTAATGCATCCATCATCACAAATAGTTATGCACACAGGTGTGAAAAAACTGGAAATTTCAATCAAATTGAAAGTGAAAACTACAATATTAGTAACTATAGTTACCAACATTACAATAGTTCCCCAGAATTTATCATGTAAGTGAAATTTTGTACCTTTTGACCAACATCTCCTCATCTCCCTGGCAACCACACATAAGCAAGCACATAGAGCCCTTGTCTTTCTGCTCCTGGCTTTTTTAATTAGCATAGTGTCCTGCATATTCATTCATGCACAGCCATTCTTGCTCTTCCCTTTCTCTCAAGCCTACAACCCATCTGTAGCCAATCTTCTTAGTCCCACCTTAGCCAGAATCTGAAGTCATGAGACCACCTCTTATCCAATTCTGTTGCTACCACCGCCTAGATCCAAGTCATCATCTTTATATCCTGCCTGGTTTACTGTGACAATCTCCCAGAGGTCTTCCTGTTTCCAAAGTTGCCATATTCTTAATTAAACCCTTTCTTGACAGAACTGAGCAGCTTTCTAGCTCAGGGTGAAAGGACAAAGTCCTTACCTGTAAGGAGCTACTGTGATCTGGCTCCCAGGCTCCCTTTAACTCTCTGCCCAGTCTCCTCCCAACTCTCCCAGCTCTCCTTCCTCCTCTGACCACATTCTGCTCCTCAAGATTTCCTAAATCATCTCAGTTACTCCTACCTCATAACATGAGTTTCTACTGACTGGTTGGTTTCCATCTCTCAGGTGAGAGCTAAAATGCTATCTTATGGAAAAGGTCTCCCCTGCTGACCCTAAACAAATTACTACCCCATACCTACATCCTGGCTCTCCCTATTCTCTTCTATTCATAGCTCTTATTATGACCATCTGTGATGCAAAAATGGGCTGGTTGGTTATGGAATGCATTGATTTATTATGTTTTCTTCTTACTATCTCTTTCCTTTAGGAAATAAGTTCTATAACAGCAGAAATTTTTGTTTGTTTTATTCCCCTATTCCCAGAACAGTTTCTTGCATATAGTTAAAACATTCAATAAATTCAATAACTATTTGTGGAAAGAAAAAAAAAATACATTAATGAATTAAATCATTTCTATAACCAAAAGGCATTTGTCTTTTAAAAAGCTGATGAAAAAGATATATCTAACCTGATTAATAAATACAATTAATGAATTAATATGATTTTCTTAAAGTTGAAATTTAATAATTTCCATATTTTATTTAAAGATGTTTCAGTATTTCAGATAATATATACATGCACACATGAGAGTACATTTTCAGTAGAAAAAAAAATGGGTAACTAGAAATTCACCACCATTTTATACTAAGTGGTAATAAAACTCAACAAGGAAATTTGGCATTAGAATCAAGTTCCAACTGATGATTTGTCAACTTGTGTATCAGCCTGATAAGTCAGTACCTATGGCCTTCTGTTAATGCCCTGGATCCTAAATACATCTAACCTTAACTTTTCTTCCTCAATAAAGAAAGTCAATTTACATGTTTCTTTCTGCTCTAAAAAGAGGGGATCCCATTTCTAAAATCAAGGACTTCTATTTCCAAACATTATAATGTTAACTCATGTAATTGTAGTAGAATTTATCAATAACTCAATTATATAATAGTCTTGATAATCACAGTACTACACATTTTAAAAGACCTTTTGTTTATAAAAGCTCTTTTGCAAAAACACCAAAAATGTGTTAAATAATTTCACCCTTTTAATGTATGTTTTAAAAAAAATCAAAGAAGTCAAACAACATCTTATCTAAGCAGAAAATACACATAGATTGGCTTCTGTAAAATATCCATTCTAGATAAATATTTATCAGTCATATAGAGAGATTTGCAAATAATATTTGTTCCTCTCTTCAAACAAAAAGTAAACAAGTGTCCTCATCTGAACTTGTGTTCCAAGAAATTAAAGTTTCACTTTAAAAATATTTTGAGCTATTTTTCTGCCACTCCATAGAGCATGTGCTTACAGAAACCTACAGTCCCAGCATATTTACGGTGATCTTAATATTACACTTTGCAAATAATACACGGCTGCTTGGTAAAAGTTGTGAAACTATCCTATAATAATATTATAGATATCAACTGATAATGTTTGCATATGTTTAGGTCTGGAAATTTGTTTTATGATAAAAAGCAACCAAATAATTTCATTAATTTTGTTATTCTTTCACCTAAACATGATTTATTTAGTCCTAGATAGTTCATACATGGATTTTTAAAAAATAGTTGCAATGCCACACCTACTTATAAATTTCAATTTTTTTAACCTATGGAAAATAAGCAAGTAAAACCATTAAACTTCCAAAAATACATAATTCTTATAGAAGGTTAACTAAATTAAAAATCATATCCAAATATTCTCTTATTTTTGGCCTGTAGTACCATAAACTGTTTTCAAGCCTTCCCAAAAATAAAGATTGACTTCCTGAATGTTTATGAAATACCATTAAGCTTATCATGTTTAATTTGCTCTTATATCCATAAATGCTGAATTTTTACCTAATAAATATTAATGAAAGCATAACAATTTCAGCAATTTGTAAGGTTAAAAAAATCTAAAAATGAGGCAAAAGTCAGTCAGGAAATAATGGCAGTTTTAGAATAAAATAGGTCCCTATATATTCTGAGGTTTCAACTTTAAAACTTAAAGACTATACTCCCACAGAATATATATATATATATATATATATATATATATATATATATGCACATACATATTCTTACTCCATTCTCAAAGCAAGTAAAAAGCTTCTAACAGAAAAGATAATTCTAGATAAGGCTAGAATTTCTGCATTCAGAAAATGGGATAATAACCCATTATGTTTTGTAGAAAAAGCTAGCTACTATAGGTAAAGTAATTACAATAATATTGGCCTGGCCTACTGAGACAAATGTTGGCTATTGTTAGAAAGAGATTTCTATAACCCATGAATTATTTGCTTCAAATTTTAAATTTTAAGAACTCTCACTTATTACCTTTTCATCAGTCTTGTTTCTTGAAGGCTGTTGATGTGTAATATTTGATTTTGTCTTTTCTGAACTTCTCTGACTATATTGTGTATATCCCTCTTTCATTTCAGTTTTATATGGTTGATATTTTAGCTTGTATTTGCCTGTTGGTGATGGCAAATTTTCAGGTATTATGTCCTGTTCCTAGAGGTAAAAAGAAAAAAGTCTGCTGTTCTCAGAAAAAAATAAATTACTATAACTAAATTTCCTTATTGATATTAACAGGTTTACCATTTACCTCACCCTTTATGTTTAAGAAACGGACCATTATAACCTATGGTCTAAACAGAGATGATATTTAAAAACCTTGAGCTTATATGGCATCGCTGACCAATAAGAGCCAACAGAACTGCTCAGAATGAGCATTTGAATACCAATAATCTTACACTTGATTTCACAGCTGAAAGTGAATCCTGGTTTCAAAAGAATTTGAGAGAAGAAAAAGAAACTTTTCCTTCTTCTGGCAAGTTTTAGGTAGACACTTTTTTTGTTTTCCATTGTCAATCATGTCTTCCAAAATAGTTATAGGAATTGGAGATCACGAATGCTGAGAAACACTGATTGCCATTTCTGAAATATTAAGATATTCTGCCTTCTGATATTATTTGATTCCATGCTACATTTTCATGGGAATGAGAGATAATAGATAAGAGGAACCAGTGGATAAGAGGAACCAAAAAGAAGTTTTAAGCAAATACAAGGGCATACATATTGATCCAGAGAGGCATAGACATTTCAAAAGGAAAATATAAACCAGTCCATTCCTTGAAAATTATTAAGGATATCCAAATTTAACTCAGGAAAAAAAAAGGGATGAGGCAAAACTTAAGGACAAAATCTGTAACAACATACAAATTAGGATACTCATGCAGTTTTCAAAAATGAGACTGAGAAAAGCATGAATAGAACCAGCTATATGATGGAGATATGCAAAGATAGAAAGGTAAGTACTATTCATAGAATAATACTAGTCAGAACCTGCATTCACTAGATATTGTTTAAAATGTAAACATGCCCCAAGGAGAAACATTGGATTAAGTATAGTTATTTATGTACTCCATAGTATTCTAGTAGCCTAATGTATTAGAATATAGCTGTATTTTACCAATTTTACAAAAGAAAATTTTAAAATATCATTCCAATGTGTGATAAAAATATAAAACAAACTAAATTATTTTACCATCGTTATTGTTTGAGATTTTCAAACAAAAATTTCTGGATCAAATATGGTGCTAATAATGCATACTATAATTCTTAAAATTAGTAATAAGCAAATATATACTAACCAGTTCATTTAGATGATGCTGAGCATATGGTATTTGACCTGGTGAGACCCAACCAAGATCAGATGACTTTGGTGGGTTAAAATGATTATGCACCATATTAAGTGGAATATATGAAAAATCATCCTAAAAAATAAAATTTAATTGTATTTTAGTATATGCTATGTGTAATATAGTGGTCAAGTGCTTATTATGTTAAATAGGAAGTAAAAATTACCTCATCATCAGAGCTCACAAGGCTTCCCAAATCAAGTGGTGGGACCCTGAAAGAAATAAGTATATATCTTATAACTTTTTCAAATGAAACTTTGATAAATGCAAATCACATATGTTAGATCACATATAAAGCCACACTGAAGCTAATGGTATTCTGGCTCCCACCAGACTGTGATTATCTTTTGTTAAATGTACAGGGATTTTTCGGCTGATGGTTAAATGCAGTCAATATTAAAAATAAAATTATATAAATTTGTGATTAAATTATATTAAGAACAAAGGTAATAAATACTCAAAGTTCATCGGTTCCTAATGATTTCACTGGACTATACACTCCAGAGGCTCTGTGTACTCTTGTATCTCTATTGTGATATAATTGTGCCCAACTTTACAACTTTGCATTTACTGATTTGACATGGACAGTCTAAAATCAGTCATGATGAAATAGGCAAATGCTATGACTCAGGGCTTGATTTATTACTTTGTTGATTTCTGAGACTTGAAAGTATGGTGGAGAAAATGTTAATAATGCGGATGAAATTAAGAGTGCATCATGTCCACAGCTGTCAAATAGTGAATAACAAAAAATTATTTCTATATTCAATATTATTGATTTTACCAGGATATTACTCATATGATATTAAAATGATATTACTCATATCATTTTACAGTAAAGAAAAATAGCTTGAAAAATCACTTTAGTTCACATGGAACTACAATGGTTCATCATAGTGAAAACAGGTTGGCTACAGTTCAATAAAAAACAAAGAAAGTATTCTGTGACCAACAATTGGCTAACTGGACACTACAATAAAGAGTTATATGTTTTACTAGCATTTGTAAACTTCTTGCTACGTATACCTCTTATCATTAAGTTATAATAAACTTAAAATACACTTAAATTTATTTATAATAAAAAGGTTAAAAAAATTATAGTAAACTTGTAATACACTTTTGGAACACCAGTCGTTAAATATTTACCAGCATATAATTGACTACTGCTTCCCACATATTCAGTACCTTGTATCTTAGTACTCAATACCTTGTATCTGAACATAATTCTTTATGTCCAGATAAGCAGCAGATATCTACTAGGTAGAACCACATGAAATTATAGATATCGGCTCATTTTAAATGTAAAATACAAAACATAAATTAATGTATTCTAAACCAAAACTCAAATTTTAATAAGTTTGTTTAAGTTGTAATATACCTCAAAATAAGATTAGAGCATGGGTATATTTACCATTAAGTTAAATTTGACTATACCAATTATAAAAATAAAAATGTTATATATTTCTTTCACAAATTCATTTAGTGAATTATTTGTTATTTATGGAGTCATAAATATATTTAACTTTTATGATTTTACATCTCAATTAAAAATAAACTGAAATTTTAAAATAGCATAATAAAAATGAATTTTTTTAATTTTTATTATTGGTTGTTCAAAACATTACATAGTTCTTAACATATTTCATACATTTGATTCAAGTGGGTCATGAATTCCCATTTTTACCCCATGTACAGATTGCAGAATCACATCGGTTACACATCCACTGTTTTACATATTGCCATACTAGTGTCTGTTGTATTCTGCTGCCTTTCCTATCCTCTACTATCCCCCCTCCCCTCCCCTCCCCTCCCATCTTCTCTCTCTACCCCATCTACTGTAATTCATTTCTCTCCCTTGTTTTTTTTCCCTTTCCCCTCACAACCTCTTATATGTAATTTTGTGTAACAATGAGGGTCTCCTTCCATTTCCATGCAATTTCCCTTCTCTCTCCCTTTCCCTCCCACCTCTCATCCCTATTTAATGTTAATCTTCTTCTCATGCTCTTCCTCCCTGCTCTGTTCTTAGTTGTTCTCCTTATATCAAAGAAGACATTTGGCTTTGTTTTTTTAGGGATTGGCTAGCTTCACTTAGGATAATCTGCTCTAATGCCATCCATTTCCCTGCAAATTCCATGATTTTGTCATTTTTTAGTGCAGAGTAATACTCCATTGTGTATAAATGCCACATTTTTTTATCCATTCATCTATTGAAGGGCATCTAGGTTGGTTCCATAGTCTAGCTATTGTGAATTGTGCTGCTATGAACATTGATGTAGAAGTATACCTGTAGTATGCTCTTTTTAGGTCTTTAGGGAATAGGAATTTTCTTAATAAATAAATATTTTACCTTTTTCAGGAAAATAATATTAAAGACAATAAAAGAAAAGAAGTTTTACTCATAATCCTACCATTCTATCACAAGATGATTTTGGCATAATAATTTTTAAAACTTCCATATACAAATAGGTTTTTCTGTAGTTCCCAAACATAGGTACACACATAATTTTTCTTTCATTCTTAAGTTGGCAAGGCATCATAAATATTTGCCCATTGACCAATTCAAATGTAAAGAAATATTACTTACATAGGTGAGTAGGGATTCGGAGTTGCCCATGATCTGGAAACCCATCCTTGCTTTAATTTAAAAATAAAAATTAGAATCAGTATGCATATACCCTTTATGTTTTAAATGACAAGCAATGTATCAATGCAAAACTAATTATAATTTCTTTCAATAAACTCTCTATAAAAATACTTATTAAGCTCTTCCTTGCTGTCTATGAGGCGTAGATAAAACAATATATGCAAGACAATTATTACCCATATAGCACTGTCTGTCTGTTAGAGAAGACATCACTCAAACAATAACAAGAAAAATAAGTCTATGACAGAGCAACCGTGTAGCAAGTGTACCTATCCTAGAGAATTAAGGAAATTTTTGCAAACCAGAAAGCAACCCTTAAAGGGAGTTCTGAAGAATGAGGAGATAGCCAGATGAAAAGAAAAGGGAGAAAACCACTTCCACCAAAATCAACTTACTGCTGAAATGTTATGTAATCGGGTGTTTTTTTATAATATTGATAGAAGCATGGGCTGTTATATTCAAGACTGAAATTTATGACTATAATTTACCATCAGAGTAAGAGATACAAATTTAACTCAATATCAACTTTAATATGACATTGTTTCAAATACTATTCTAATATTTAAGATGTGGAAATGGCAAAATTCTAAAAGAATCATTTAAATGAAAAAATAAACATGTAATAGAGGCATAAAGGTATCATGTTAACTTATATCCCCTTGCCTAACCTGGGATCTGAACAGTTTTTCATGTTCTTTTCTCTATTTATCTGTTGTTAGTGTTTGTAATGATGATACTTGTACTAATAAGTATCAGATTTTTTTTAAAGAGCTTATATGTTCTCATTTTTTAAATACTATTCTTCTTAAAACACTCCAGAAACAGCATCTAGTAATTAGGCTTCAACTATATTGACACTTGGCCAATAAACTGTAAGAACAATCTGGGATTAATTTAAAAAAAACAAACAAACAATAGTTCAAGATAAGCATAAACATGTCCCCTAACTCTACTACTAGATATAGTTAGTAAGACATAAGGCAGGTTTTATTTTTACAGAAAAAGGTAATTACAGAAGCTATTATTTTCAGAATTTAAACATTGATATCTTCCTAATAATTAACCAGAGGGGGAAAAAACCCTGAAGTTTCCATAATCTGATAACCAAGTAATCAGTGGAAAAGGCTGTAATACCATGCTTGATATTTTAACTAGTGAGAAGGGCTTCGACCCAAATTATCAATGACTTGAAATTTTTAAACTGTGAAATAGTAAACCATAAGAACTCCAAAGCATTCACCCATTCATATAGGGAGCTGGTTTAACCTAAACTAAAGATCACAGGTCTTGAAGTCAGAACTAGAGTTCAAAGTACTAGCAAGTCACTTAATCTCTAGAAACTTGAGTTCTTGCATATCTAAAAGCAGCAGGCAAATAATAGTGCCCACCTCTAAGGTTCACAGTTTGATTTATATGTTATTCAGACTTTTATTATGGTCAATGATAATCAGTAGGTATTCAGTATCTAAAATAAAAATAGCAAAGAGATGTGTATCACTTTCATATACCTTTAAATTAAATGTGCCATTTATCCAATTCTATGTGGATGCAGGGACAAAGTAACTTTAAGATTTCACTTAATTAATTGATGAAATCTACAACAGTGGTATCGTGAAGGCTGAGAAGAATAAAGGTCCTAATAATAAAATCCTGAATTCTCTTCCTGCATTGCTAATAGAAAATGTAATATTCTACAAAAATTTTAATTTTGGTTTAAATATAAAAATTGCAACTTGGATATTTGTACTTCTATCCTTTTGAGCATGCAGTCATCATGACCCTGCTTCCCTTCTCCACCTTTTTTGCAAATCAAATGCTAATTCTAGTGCATACAGATGTCATTCTTCACTGAAACCTTCTCTACCTTTGCCAAACCAATCTTCTTTCTGCCTTTACACTTTTGTAGCTATTTCTTTAGTTGAATTTAACACTCGGAATCATAAATCTTAAGATTAACTACAGGATCATTTATTACATCTCATTTATTGTTGGGTCTTTAGCACCTCGAATTGCACTAAACACATTATAAATAAAAAAATAAAATTCAAAAGAATGTAGTCACAGAGATTCTATTTTAAATAAACCTAGTGTACATTTTTAAAAAGTTTGGTTTATGATCTTCTAAAACTTCCTCTGAATATAAATTATACTATATATTATATAATCACTAAACACATTTTTAGAGTTTTTAATAATATAGAAAATGCATTTTAAAAGTTAACATAAAGTTATATTTGCAGTTTTCAATAGTGTACCAATTATACATAAATCCATCAAAATGTAATAGGGCACATACTCATGAAGGAAATATTGATATGTTCTTCTCTCTACTATTGTTTCTTCTTTTAGAATTTTTATGGACACGTGGATAATTTTTAAGTAACAATAATAAAATGATCAGCATGATTTAAAAAAAAACTAACTCAGTGAGTTTTCAAGTAATAATTAACTTCAATTTTGGTGGTTCCATTTTTCAAATCTAGGAAACATTAATCTAAATATTTGTGAATATAATTAGTTATCAAAGCATGAAGAAAGGACTCATAAAATTATTTAATGAGTCATCATGAAAGAGAAAAACTAGATTATTTACATACTTGTAGTGGCTTCTTTCTTCTCAGGAGTAGCTGAGATTGGCTCCTAGGAGAAGTAGCCACTCCTTTTACCTCCAAATCCATTCAAGTTCCCGTATTTTTCATGCAGTATCCTGGTACTTTCAAAAAGGCAAAACAAATGTAAAATGATAATGCCTATCTAGTTTTAAAAAAGTCATACAACTTACATAATAATACTTCATAGAAAGAAATCATATGGTCAATCACTTTTACTTCTTTCATCAGAATCATATTTGTATAGGGCAATTACATTATACCCTGTGGTAGTCTGCTCCTAAAGAGATCCCCATTGAAATGTCTGGACTCTAAATATGTACCTTACATGGCCAGAAGGACTTTTTAGATTTGATTAAGAATTTTGAGATGGAGAGATTTTCTTCTACTATCTGGTGAGCTCAATGTGACCCCCTTCATGTCCTTATAAGGGGGCGGGGGGGGGGGGAGATTACAGTGAACAGAAATTTAAGGATGGAAGCATAGGTCAGAGAGGAGCCACAATGCTCTGTGGCTGGCTCTAGAACTAGCTCTAGGATGGAGGGAGAGGTCACAGACAGCTTCCAGAAGGCAGAAGAGACTAAGAATGGTTTTTCCCCTGAAGCCTCCAAAAGGAAACAGCTCTGTTGACCACAGTGGTTTTAGATCCTTTAGGCTCATTTTGTACTCTGACCTCAAGATGTGTAAAAGAATACATTTATGTTGCTTTAAGCGACTAGTCTGTGATTTTTTTTTTTTACAGTAGTAATAGCATACTGCTATATCTCTCTTATCCACACAATGAGACATATGTTTATTCAGTCATTTACCCATTTCCCAAAGCTTGGTGGATTTTCCTTGTGTCAGAGTAGGCTGATGAAAATATTTTTAGCAAACAGTATTCTTTACTTAATACAAAGAATCAAATAGAATGAATGATCCAATTAGTAACTATGTGGTAACTATGTTTTCAAAAGACCATTGAAAATAATCAATTTTCAAACACATACAAAATAAAATCAGATTAATATATCTGTCAACAAAATTGGGTGTAATTTAGTTTATAATTCATCTTTATATTACCAATTTAATTTAAAAATTCATTCATATTTCTTCTATCATTAGACTTGGATTTATTTTTATAGCAAACTATTTTTAGTTGGTTTTTTTAAAAGAAAGGTAGTATGGCATAGTGCCAGCTTGCGTTAGATAAATTGTATTAAAATCCTGATTTTTGCTACTTTCACATAATTTAAGCTTGGATAAGAACTTAATTTCTAAGCCAATGTTCCTAATGTATAAAATAAATTTACAACTTACTCATTTGCATCTTTCTCATTTTGATGGAATAAAGTAACATTCAATAGATTAAAACTATGGTTATTATTAAAATTGTGCTTTTATTTCAGGCCCACTACATTCTTCTTACCTGAAATCTCAGTTCCTTTCTAACTCATCTGCGTGGTTTCCTTTCACCCCTGAAAAACTGTTGCCTTAAGCTTGAAATTCTACTCTTTTTTTTCCCTTTTTTTTTTTTTAGTTGTAGTTGGACACAATACCTTTATTTATTTATTTTTATGCGGTGCTGAGGATCAAACCCAGCACCTTGAACATGCTAGGTGAGCATACTACCACAGGGCCACAACCCCCCTGTAATTCTACTCTTAAGAGTACAATAGATGAATGGATAAAGAAAATGTGGTATATATATTCAATGGAATATTACTCAGCTTTAAAGAAGAATGAAATTATGGCATTTACCAGTAAATGCATGGAGTTGGAGAATATCATGCTAAGCAAAATAAGCCAATCCCAAAACAACAAAAGCCAAATATTTTCTCTAATATGAAGATGCTAATTCACAATAATGGGGTGGGGAACACTAGAGAATAGAGTTACCTTAGATTAGGTAGAGGGAAGTGAAGGGAGGGGAGGGGAGGGGGTGTGAGGATAGGAAGGATAGTAGAACAAAACAGACATTATTACTTTATGTATATATAGGACTCCATGACCAATGTGATTCTACAACATGTACACTCAGAAAAATGAGAAATTATATCCCATCTATGTATGATATATCAAAGTACATAAATGCATTCTACTGTCATGTATAACTAGTTAAAACAAATAATTTTTTTTTTTTTAAAAAAGTAAATTCAAGCTGGGCATCTTGGCTCAAGCCTGCAATCCCAGTGGCTCAGAAGACAGAAGCAGGAGGATCATAAGTTCAAGGTTAGCTTCAGCAACTTAGAGAATTCCTAAGCAACTTAGTGAGACATGCTCTCAAAATTAAAAGAAAATTAAAAAAGAAATGGGAGGGGGGTACTAGGGATGTAAGTGAGTGGTAAAACACCCATGGGTTAAATTCCCAGAGCCCCCCCCCCCAAAAAAAAAGAGTAAATTCAAAATTGATCAACCAAGAGTACACATATTCTAAAAATATCACAAATCATCTGATTATAGGAGTATTTTCTCCTATAATACTGCAAATGGCTTTCTTTTCAGAGTTATCTTTCAAAAAGAATCAACTTTTTAAAGTTGTTATTTGTTTGTGTTGTGTGGGTGCTCCCCACCCCCATGGGTAGTTTGTTTAATAGCATCACAAAAGTTATCCTATTTGCTACGATGATTACCAGCTAACAAATCCAAGTTGAGACTACACTGAGCAGTCAGCTAAGTGATTTTCTCCACTCTTTTTCTTATTTTTCTCCCAGCCTCTCAACTTTGTACCTTAATAATTATCACAGCCAGTTCAAATCACTACTGGTCATCTTAAATCGCTACAATTCATTTGCATAGTAATAAAACTGGAAAATTTAAACCTTCAAATATCCTGTTTCTCCTAGTCCCTGTGCTTCCCCAGGAACCACAGTCATCACTCTTCATTGTAATCAGCTTATTTCATTTCTCTAATAAACTGTCACGACCACAAAGTTTGATATCTCTTGCCCTTAGTATAACATAGGCACCTAACAAATATCTACTTAGTTAATAAATAAGTTAGTGCACCACCAAATACCTGTACATATTTTAAAGATATTCTTAGGTTAGTTGCACTTCTCTGAATCTAGTTATGACAATCATAATGCCAACATATAAATCCTGTCTTCAAGCAACTGGATAAGGTGTTTGAATGGAAGCAATTATTCATAGCAATTATTACTCAATATCGAACTGTAAGCCTCATAAAGGCAAGGACTACTACTGGTTTTATTTAACCTTATCTCAGGACCTAGCAGAAAGCCTAGAAAATAGTAAGAACTTGGTATTTGTTGAATAAGTTAATTCAGTCAATTCAGATACAAGTTAATTCAGAATTACATAACTTAAAAATAATTAATTCAGATACAGTTAAGAGTGTTCAAAAGGCAGTGCCATCACACATGGAACACTGGCATCTACAAAATTAGTGCGGTCAGGTCACCAACACCCTGGAGACTCTTAAGATTTGACCAGGGCTTCAAAGGTAAAACAGCCCAGCCTTCTGATTTTCAAAATGAGCAAACTGATACCTGGAAAAGTGAATCTTACTTTGCCAAACTGTTTGCCAGTTATTGCAGAGCCTGAATTCGTAAGAAGGTTTCAGACTTCTTCACAGTACTAAACTATGCTGGTACATACAGATACTAGTTGCATCAGAGAGGAATTTTGCTGCTGGGACTACAGAACACCAAAAACCTAAACTTGGGGACCCAAGAATCAGCATTTCAAACAAATGGCTGGGAATCCATCTTTGGAATGCATACTGAGGCAGATGGGTGGGGATTGAATAGGAGTTGGCAGGAAGAGGGAAGAGTACTTTTGAATGGCTTTGGTCCCCACTCAAATTGCTACAAGTTATAAGATGTTTTTGCTAGCATGTAATAAGTGTTGTTGACTAGTGTCTTTGATGCAGCCCAAAAGAATTGAACTCATCTCCCACTTCCCTCACTTTTAACAAGGATTATTTCCAATTCCAATTATCATCATTTCTCTCTTGGTTGCTGGTGGCTATGAAGTTGCATATGCAAAATCAGAACACAATAGAAAGCAAAGAATAAACTGATCTACTCCAGGAGAGAAGGAAGAGATTCGTCAATACAATTCAGTATTTCAGCTCCAGGAGGGTAGAACTAAGTCTTTCTTGGATCCCAGGTGATAACTGACGCTGGTATCTGAAATTGAACCTGAGGTCATTGTTAATGTGAAACAAAGCACAGCAATCTTCCTTTCCCAAACATCACTGCCCTCTCCCCACAGTTAAATTATACTTCAGAGCACCTGCAGTGTACCATAAGAAATTCCTCATCCAGTTCCATCTGGGAATCATGAAGAGGCTAGGGCCACAGGGAACAGCCAGCCTGACTTGACCTAACAAGTTCAGTAAAGCCCAGGTCCGGACCAGGAGGGCTGGAAAAGGCATAAACTAGGGAGATTCCCCCAGAACCCATTCAGGCGGCGGTGTCTAACAGCACTGGCTGGAAGGGGCAGGTCCCTGGAGAGGCGACACAGCAGGCCAGCGTCTGCAGGTTGCCCGGCAACAGGCGCCTCCACTGGGGCCTCTAACTGTCGTCTTTCGCTTCCAAGCGGAAAGACGGTCAGCAGCCCGCCTCTTTAGCTCCTTGCATGCCAACTGTCACCCCCCAAATGTGTCTGCTGTACCTTCGCCCCGCGGGCCTGCGCCCCGAAATTCCGCTGGGCAACCTTACCCCGCAGTACGAAGTGCACTGGCTGGAAATCTTCTTAGGCCCCGCCAGCGCCACACCAGGGACCGGCTCTGGGAGCCCTTAAACCCAGGCGGGGAGCTGGAACGGACTCACTCCCAGCGCTTCTCCAGCGCAGGGAGAGCGCCATAGCCCGGCATGGATCCGCCGCAGTTGTGCGATTAATTGAATAGAATTATATTTAATATATTTCTTAGGTAACTACATTTTATGCTTAGCGCCCAGATCTGCTGTCAAGGAGCTTGCAATTATTCAAAAAGACAATATTTCAGAATAACATTATAGAGAAGTATAGATATTAAACAGATTTGGATATTAATTTAAATAAGTATGCACGTATGTACATTTACATTATCACATATATGTTGCATGTGTGTGTGTATATATATACATATATTCTATATAATATGTAAAACTGCATTTTAAAATGTTGGTGTAACCGAAAGGGTACAGGCCTAGAAATCAGGAAACCTCGTTTTATTTTTTTACCGTACTAAAATTTTAGCCTCACTCTGTACACAATGTCTTTGAGCATCAACTCCTTACTCATAAGGTGAAAAATTGGTTTCATATATCATTAAGGTTCCACTCCAATATAATGTACGACAGCTTTCCTAAATTACACAGCCAAATGTCAGATACCCAAATTAGAATTAAGATGTTATGAAGCCTAATCTAATTCCCTTCGCACAAAATCATGTTGTTGTTGTTGTTTTGTAATCTTTAGTATCTTTTCAAAATTAGCATCCCTCAAAATATGTATCCAAATTTACAAATTGAAGGCATTTTTAGAGTAAAAATATACATATATTTTTAAAACATTAAAATAGTAAAATTGATGGATATAACATAATCACTCCATTTCTTCTCTACACTCCATAAAATTCATCCACCCATTATCCGGAAAGAAAGAAAAGCAAAAATCAACTGTTAAAAAATTAAACAGAAACAAAAAACTAAACTTTTAAAAAATGACTGAAAAACTATAGTTGTCAAGTAATCTTAGTCATTCCACAAACAGATCAAGAAAACATCTTTAAGACACAACCTTGCCTATTCTTGGCACTTAGGCTTAGTACACCTCAATTGTTTCAGTATTTCTAAATATAATTCCCTAAACCACTAGAAACATTGTCTAAAATACCACACCTATAAAATTCAGACATTTTGTTAAGACATTTCTTTTTCTTTTTTTTTTTTAAATTGACTCAAAAATTTGTACATATTTATGGGGAAATTTGTTATGTTTTGATGCACATATACATTGTGTAGCATTCAAATCAGGATAAACAAATCTATGTCATGAAACACTTATCATTTCCCCACAATGAGAATATTACCAATCCCCTCTTCCATCTTCTCTATCACAATCTCTCGTCACCCTGCAATAGAACACCAGAACTTAGTTCTATAACTAGAAGTCCCTAGGCAGTCTCTTTGGTAGGAAAAAAAAAAAAAAAAAAGAGGAAAGAAGAAGAAGAAGAAAGGGGGTAGGGCGGAAAGAGGAGGAGGAGGAAGAGGAAGAGGAGAAGACAGCAGCAAATCAAATGTTTAAATGTTTAACAAGGTAATAACTTTGGATCACAGTATGACAGCGAGTTTACAAATCGCCTACTTTAATCCCGAGTCTCTGAGGAAGGGGGCAAAGTTCTGCAGTAGTTTATTTAAAACAATACGAATGCTATTATCATACACAGATGCTGAGTCTGTAAAACTAATGCATAGGGTTTTCCACAGGGCATCCAATTGTCAGCATCCAATACACCTTGTTCTTTGTATAATGTGGTGCCGCCTCCATGTTGCAACTGTATTACAATCCAGGCAATGACTCAAGATGATCAGAGCCTCAGAAAGCACTTAGGATCCTGAGTCAAAACTCTGCAGTGCCGCGCTGCGCTGGGCAGACTTGGTGGGGGCGGATCCTGCCTCGAGCCCGCCCTGCCCCGAGGGTTTTGCCCAATGAGCGGGGCTTCCCCGCGCCGGCTTGTGCAGAGGATGGAGTCCGGCGAGAGCGTGGTCCCTGGGGCGGCAGAAATCCAGCTTCCCCAGCCGTTACTGGTTGGTGCTGTTGGGACATGGTGCTTGTCCCTCCATGGCTCTTAAAAATCTTATTAGTTTGTGGACCTTAAGTCTATGTGTAGCGGCCAGCAAACTTCCTCCAGTCCCGTCCGTCACAGACCCACAATTTATAGACCAGTGCGTCCAAGCCCACAACGAATGGAGGGGCAACGTCAACCCCCCAGCGGCCGACATGAAACACATGGTGAGAAAAGAACCAGAACTGGTCTCCTATGCTTCTTGTTCATCCCAAGGTATCCGGGCCATACGTTTCGTGGACTTATCTCAATACAGCCAGGACTCCACTTGTGGTTTATAGAAAACTCACACCTTGGCTGGGCTGTCTCCTCTAGGGTTGTGATGGAGTGGAGGAGATGGGAGCTGTTCTTTCTGTTCCTTTTGCCTAGACATAAGCTCCCTGGGGGCAGTGGTGGGGGGGAGCAGATGGTGTTTGGAAGTTGCATGGTCTTCCCCTCTAAGGTTCATCCGTATTTTGCAAGGGTGTTTTTGTTTGGTTCTTTTGTTTTTCTCTTCTATTGGATGGTGCCTCCCATCCTGCACATTCAAGATTCTACATATAAAAGATACATACAGTAGAGTGATGGGAATTCTCTCATAATTTTATATTTTAGAAACCCAAGTTTAAAACAACACAGTGGTGTAGTATTCATTTGAAAAATAAAATGTTCTACAAGGATGTGAAAATCAGCTCTTGAACAGTATCAGATGGTGATTTTCATGAAAAAAATAAATAAATTTGTGAAATTTAATCCCCCAAACATTGCACTGGTTGTATCTTTCTTAGACCTCCACAGTAGGGCCAACAAAGGGGAAAAGAGTTCTGTATGGAAGAAAAAGCAAAGAGAACATTATGTTATTAAAATAATCATAGATTTTACCCATTTTTAACAAATTCTTGACCATGTATTACTTGGAGTTTCCTTTGCATTGTAACTTTTTCTTGCTTAATACCACCACAATGAACATAAATGTATAAATGTTGTTAGTATTAATCTCTCTTACCATGCTATGTAAATTGTAACTCACATTTATTCCAGGGGTTTTGCTTTGTTGTTTTTTGGTACCAAGGACTGAACCCAGTGGTGTTCAACAAGTGAGCCACATACCCTGCCCTTCTGCCTCAATCTCCTCCTCAGCCACTAGGATTATGAGCATCCACCAAAATGTGCAGCCAGTTTTCTTTTTTTCTATCTGGAAGACAATAAAATTAAAATTTTTTCAAAAAAGAAAATACAATGGATGCTATTATAAAATCATAGCTCAAGCACTAAAGTTCAGAACTATAATGTTATACTATATAGGAGAGTGAGAGTTTTGTTTTTTTTTTTTTGAGTGAAGGAAATTTTAAATAGATTTTTGAAAGTCAGACAAAAACAAACTGACCACTTTAAGAATGCAAAATTTTTAAAGTATTTTCATGTATAATGTTTAGTTTAATCTCCAACTGATTGGGGTAGTCAGGAGTATGTTATTTGCTTGTAGTATTTCCTCTATGTTTATTTAGACAACCCTCACTAAAAGACTATTTTTTTTTGCTATAAAAATGCTATGTGATTTATATTTGTGTAGGCAGAAGAGAGGAAAAGAAGGAATAAGGTGAAGAGACATGAATAAAATTTGAGTCTTCTTTAAATGTATCTTGTTTTATAATTTGACTCAGTAAACATGTAAAATTATTATGTCCTTTTTGTATTTTAAACAAAAGGAAAAGTATCCCTTAGACACAAACTTAAAAAAACTAGTATATAAAATTGGCCTCCAATCTACACTTTTAAAAATTTTATAAGCATTTCTGCAATATATTATTTCAACTGTACATTTCTAGTACAATGAACTTTGAGGGAAAAAAAAGCAACAAAAAAACCTGAATTCAGTAATGTTAATGCTAGTGTGATTTTTGTGAAGTCTTTTGAAAGAATTCTATTGCATATTGTATGATGAAGCAAAATTTTATAATTTATAGGAATTAAGACTTTCTGCATAAAAAAGTAGATACAAGAATATAGTCAAAGACATTAAAACACTGTAATCTTTAGAGTGAAAATCACAGCATGAATTCATGATTTCTTACTTAAATAGTTATACCTTAACCTTATCATCGAAGAAGTATACAAGCAATGATATCCATTAGCAATGAGAATTCATAGCAAAATATTTTCATAATAACGGATGATTTCCTTGGAAAAAATGGCTGAATGTAAGTGTGAGGCAGAAAACATGCAAGAAGAATCCGGAACACTAATAACTTATCAGAAAGAAAGGAAGACCCAAAGATTAATTGATTCATAGTAAAAAGACAAAGGACTCTTATTAGGATGAAGTTTACTAAGTACCATTAGTCTTACTATAACAATGAGGGAATACTACAGAAAGTAAAAGGGGAAAAATAAAAGTTATTATCTTTAACTGCATTGAAGAACTACGGATGCAAAATGATTAAATGAATTACCTTTAAGAGAAAGGTGGCCCTTACTAGAATACAGCACGTATCTTTGTTTTTGTCACTGGGAAAGTTATGGAGGCATGAGGCATTGGTAGGTAGAAAAACCAAACCTGCCATAAGCCAAGCAAAGTGGTGAAGTTAATGGAAAACTGGACATCTTGTAATGGTTGTGTGGCTATTATGGAGGACTGAAACCTAGAAGACACCCAACCACAATAATTCTTCAATTCTTTATGCCTTTTTTTTTGAGAGAGTGAGAAATAAGTGCCAGTATTAGAAAGCTGGATTTAGGCATCCAAAGCAGAGTGCTTTAACAAAGCCCTGCTACACTTAAAGCCCAAAAGGATGCATCTTACTGCACCTTCAAAATTCTTGAAATAAGAGCTTAACTAAAAGTAATGTTCAGTGCCAACTGAGAACAATCACACGTTAGACTAAGCAAATAAACTCCTAACCATAGCTATTCTTAACATGGGCAGACTAAAGGACAAAACTTTGAAAGGAAAATTATTAGTTTCTGGCATACAACCAAAATACAGAAAAAAATATTTAAAAGCCAGTAGATGTAAATCATGCTAAACTACCAATTGAACTAGAACAAAAAATTACCCAGAATTTTTAATTAGTAAACAGAGTATGTTAAAGAACATGTGTGTGTATATATACACACAATTAAATAAATACACACACACACACACAGTCCCTGAAAGGAAGTATTTATTGGGTGGGTTTACAAGAAGACTGGACATAGCATAAGAAATTATTGGTAAACTCAAAGATAAATTATTAGAAATTACCCACACTGAAGCACAGAGAAAAAAAACAACCCAATAGCAACGGTAGAAATAACAGAATGCTGGAGACCTCTGGAACAAATTCAGATGATTTAACATACACATATTTGAAAGGGACAGAAGAAGTATTTGAAGAAATAATCAGCAACAATTTTCCAAAATTTATGGGAAGACATCAAGTCACAGATCCAGTGTCTCAAAACTCAATCATCTAAGCACAACAGCTAGTCACACGAGAGTCAAACTGGTGAAAATAAAAGACAGGAAATCTTGAAAGCAACCAGAATGGGATAAAATAAATATTTCATTTTTTAAAATTTAAATATAAGGCTGAATTCTCTTCCTGCAAAGTTGAACTCAAAAGACAATAGAATTTTAGCCTATAAAGGTCAGAAGGGACTGAAAAAAAAATAGAAGGCTAAAAACACTTTCAACATATGATTACTTGCCCACTGAAAGTATTCTTCAAAAACAAAAGCAGGTAACAGTGGCGCATACCTGTAATCCCAGTGGCTCCAGAGGCTGAGGTGGAAGGACTGCAAGTTCAAAGCCAGCCTCAGCAACTTAGGGAGACACTAAACAACTCAGCTAGGCACTAAGCAACTCTAGCTGAGTTGTCAGCTAGACCCTGTCTCTAGATAAAAAAGGGGGGCCGGGGATGTGGTTCAGTGATTAATCCCCAGTACCAAAAAAAAAAAAAAAAGTAAAATAAAGCTATTTACAGGCAAATAAAATACTGAATATGAAAATTCAATTCAAAAGCAGAACAGCTCTGTAAGAAGTACTAGAGAAAGATTTTAAGCTTTTAGGAAAACAATCCCAAAAAGAAACCCAGACCTAAGAGAAGAGTCCCAAACAGACTAGATGTGGGGTTAAATATTTTAAGTTTTCTTTATAATGCCTTCATATTGTTGACTATTTAAAGCCAATGTAAGAATTTCAAGATGCCTTAATAGAGGTACCCAGAACTCACTCATTCTTTCACAAAGAAAAACTGAAGCAAGAGGTATGTAGCTCCATTTTATGGTGTGTGACCATGGGAGAATGCTGGAAATGAGTGAGAGAGAAACTTGAGCCTTATTAAGAGTCAGAGACCCACTAAAATAGCATAATAGGGGAAACAAAATACCCTGGCTCCAGAGCCTGCATGGAATGGGTCTTCATTCTGCAGGAGTGAGGGTGAAAGTCTCAGCCACTTCAATCAGTATGTACGGTTGCTGGCAATCCTAGCTATTGGAAAGCTTCACAATCCCCACAGGCTTTCAGCCTCCTTAAGTAAATAACTTGAAATCTGCACAGAAGTCTGGCTTTGTAAAAAGATCTCCCATTATCTCCAGTAAATCCCCAAGATGCTGAAGCCAGGACCCATCTTGAGAAGGGACCTATTGTCTGAATTTGGACTGGACTAGGAGTCAGAAACCTCTGGTCATAGTTCCAGGACCCTAGAGATATTCCACTGCACTCTGTAGCTGCCTTCCAAACCACTCACAAGAAGGGCTCTGACCTAACCTGCCATGTGGCCTGCACAGTATGGAATCAACACATTGATTTGGAGGAGAAGGGAGCCACCCACAAGAACCAGGAGCTTCTGGAGCTTGCCCTCTGAGACTAGGGGCATGGCAGGTTACATTCAGATTCATACTGATGCCACAACTGAGTCACCTACCTGCTTCCTGCCACCCCTGCACAAGTACCAAACACAGGTACCTGTAATGAACAGGGTCGGGAAAGAGCTCTGTGGATTCACTGCTAGCATGCCAAGTTAAGGCAGCCTTGAGCAAAACCACAGCTTTAGTTATTACCCTGGTCCAGGACATATGACCAAAGGGGATCTGAAGAGAAACTTTGCCTGGCTCTGGCCATGTTCCACCCTAATTCACTCCTGTGAGCACTGCACCTGAAGGAATTGGAAGGAGAAAACTTAATGCCTACATAGCACCCAGAGGCAGGTGCCTCCTCACCAAAATACTAGCAAATCAAGTACAATAGCACGTAAAAAGATCATATACCAAGATTAAGTTTGTTTCAATCTAGGGATGCAAAGATGGTTTGCATCTTTTGCAACATACACAAGTCAGAATTTGAAATTCAGTAAATGTAAATCACATCAACAAATGAATGATAAAAAGTGTATGCTCACTCAATAGATGCAGAAATGAGCATATGATAAAATTCAACATCCCTTCATAAGAGTCCTCAAAATTAGTTATAGGATCATACCTCAACATAATAAAGGCTGTACATGACAAATCCACAGCCAACATCATACTGAATTGTAATAAAATGAAAGCATTTCCTCTAAGCCTAGGTATAAGACAATGTTATCTACTTTCACTACTCTAATTCAATATAGTACTAGAAGCTTTAGCTAGAGCATTTAGGCAAGAGAAAGAAATGCAAGGCATATAGATAGTAAAAAGAAGGAAATCAAATTACTCCTGTTTGCAGATGATACTATTCTATACATAAAAAAAAAAAAAAACACCTAAGGACTCCGCTGAAAAGCTATTAGAACTAATAATTAAACAAATGCATTAAAGTAGCAGGATTCAAGTCAACACAAAAAAAAATCAGTAGATTTTTCTATACACCAATAACAAATTTGCTCAGTAATAAATTATGAAGGCGGTCCCATTTATAATAGCCACACATCCAAAAATTACTTAGCAAGAAACTTAACCAAGGAAGTAAAAGACCCCTACAATGAAAATTCTAAAATATTGGTGAAAGAAATTGAAGAACACACACACACACACACTAAAAAGAAAAGATCTTCCATGTTCATGGATTGGAAGAATTAATATTGTTAAAATGTCCATCTACCCAAAGTGATCTACAGATTCAATGCAATCCCCACCAAAATAATGATAGCCAGGCGCAGTGGCACATGCCTGTAATCCCAGCAGCTCAGGAGGCTGAGGTAGGAGGATCACAAGTTCAAAACCAGCCTCAGCAATTTAGCAAGGCCCTAAGCAGCTTAGCAAGACCCTGTCTCAAAATAAAATTTAAAAAGGGCTGGGGATGTGGCTAAGTGCCCCTGGGTTCAACCCTGGTACAACAAACAAACAAAAAACCCATGACATTCCTCACAGAACTAGAAAAGCAATCATAAAATATATATGGAAGGACAAAAGACCCAACATAACCAAAGCAGTCTGAACTAAAAGGGCAAAGCTGGAGGCATCCCAATATTTGATTTTGATTTTAAAACATTCTACAGAGCCAAATCAGCATGGCATTGGCATAAAAAAAATAGATACAAAGGCCAATTGGGCAAAAATACAGAATCCAGAAATAAACCCACACATCTATTGCCAACTGTTTGTCAACAAAGGTACCAAAATCATACTTTGGAGGAAAGACACCTTTAATAAATGGTGCTGGGGAAAGTGGTTATTCACAGGTAGAAGACTGAAGCTTGACCACTGTCTTCACTCTGCAAAATCAACTCAAAATGGACCACACATCTAAAATATAAGATCTTAAATTCTGAGCCTATTAGAAGACAATAGGGAAACATTTCAAGACTTTGGTACAGGCAGGAATTTTCTGATAGACCTCCAAATGCATAGGTACAACAACAAAATGGATAGATAGGTTAAATTAAAATGTTCGTATCCATCTAAAGAAATCATCAACAGAGTCAAGAGACATTCTACAATATATGAGAAAATATTTACCAAGTAGAGGGTTAATAACCACAATATATAAAGAACTCAAAAAAATAACTTAACAAAAATAGTCCAATTTAAAAATGGGCTAATGGTCTGAATAGACCCTTCTCCAAAAAAAAAAAAAAAAAAAAAAAAGAAGAAGAAGAAAAAGAAAGAAATACAAATGGTCAGCAAACAAATGGGAAAAAAAAATCTCATTATCATTAGCCACCAGGAAAATGCAAATCAAAACTATAATGAGATACCATCTCACCCCAGTTAGAATTAGCATTTTTTTTAAAAAAAGGAGGACAAGAATGTGGAGAAAAGGAACACTTATACACTGATACACTGTTGGTAGAAACGTAAATCAGTCCAGTCATTATGGAGAACAGTATGAAGTTTTCTCAGAAAACTAAAAGCAGATGTACTATATTATCCAGCTATCCCACTTCTGGGTATATATCCAAAGGAAATTAAATCAGCATATAAAAAAAACTGCATACCTGAGTTTATTGTGCTACTAGTCACAATAGCTAAGAAATAGAATCAGCCTAGGTGCCCATCAACATATGAATAGATAAAGACAATGTGGGAGGTATACACAATGGAGTATTATTCAGTCATAAAGAAGAACAAAATTTTGAAATACTCTGCAAAATGAATGGAACTGGAGATGTTCAGATAGACAAGTACCTCATATTCTGTATCATGTGGAAGATTGCAAAAAGCTGAATTTACAGTAGAATGTTATTTTTTTATTGGTTGCTCATGACAATACAATGATCTTGACATATCATACATTTGATTCAAATGGGGTATGAATTCTTATTTTTCCATGTGTACAGATTGCAGGATCACATTGGTTATACAGCCACGTAAATGCATACAGCAATACTAGTGTCTATTGTATTCTGCTGCAGAATATGTTATTAATTATTAGAGATTGAGAAATTGGGGTAAGGGTAATAAAAGGGTGTTGGATTGTATCCATACTTGCTGTATACATGTATAGAAATATATTGAACCCCATTATTAAGTATAATTATTGTGTGTTAATAAAATAAAATGCAAATTCAAAAGAAGTTTGCAGGGTAGGGAAGAAAGACAAACCATATGCTAACTCTAAGAAGGACTTAGCAGGTATGGAAGGTGCTATGGAAGCAAGGTTTGGTAACTAGGGCCCTACACACTTCCACAGCTAACACTGAGGAAGGAAATCCCACCTAAAATGTACAATTAATATGTGCGAATTTAAAAAATCATTAAGAAATTTATCCTTTACTCATAATAAATTTGCATAACCTTCTGAATTACTAAATTTTGAACTACAACTTATTTTAATCACATTCAGAATATTGGTTGAGTGTGTCTAAGTACCAGGCCATCCACTAGGTACCAGAAATACAAAGATGAACTGCCAGAGTGAGTATTAAGTGTGTATTTCTGAAGTAGATCTAAAAAGACGCGACCAACTTTAAACATAATAAATACCAAAGAAAAACTATAGTTGTATTAAAGTAAACAAAATGTAATTGATTGCAAACAAAACAATTACATAAAAGGTATGCAGAATTCAACTTACACCATTTTTGTTTTTCAGTTTTGGGATGAAAGCTTGGCAAAGCTGGCTAAAGAGTGGACAACCAAGTGCAAATTTGAACATAGAAGTTGTTTATCAAAACCATATCAATGCAATGAAGACTTTGAATTTGTTGGAGAAAACATTTGGTTAGGCGGATTTAGATACTTTTCACCAAAAGCTGCTATCACTGCTTGGTATAATGAAACTGCATTTTATGACTTTGATACTTTAGCATGTTCTAAAGTTTGTGGCCATTATACACAGGTAATATTTGGCAGCACTGACTAGTTCTTATTTATGTGTGTTACAATTGTCATAAAAAAATATTTTTTGAGTTTCAAGAAAATTCACCTTCATTTGGGACATATTTTAATTGGGTACAGACCTCTGTGTAGTAAGGTGTGTTTTTTTTCTAAACTTAAAAAAAAATCATACTTCACTGTCATTTTATTTGTATTGTTTCCAACAAAAAATCTACTATAATCCTCTTCTTCTGCATGTAAATGTCTGGCTGTCTGCTTTAAAATTTTTTGCTTTTATTATAAGTCTTGAGCAGCCAATAATAATGTACATAATTTTCTTTGTGTTTCCTCTGTTGTAGTTCAATGACCTTGGAGCGAGCTCTTGTCTATAGTTTGAACCAAATTTGAAAAAGTGTTAGCCATTGTTTTTGAAAATATTTCTCTCACTCTCTCCTCTTTTCCCAGTGTCCAGTTGTCCATGTAGAAGACCACTTGAAATTGTCCCAGTTTTTTGGTGCTCTTGTTATTTCTTGAAGACATTTCTCTGATTAATTTCAGATAGTTTTACTGCTGTCTTTAAATTTGCTAACCTTTTCTTCAACACTATTTATTCTCCAGTTAATTCCATTTAGCTTTTTTTTCAATCTTAGACATTAAAGTTTTTATCTCTAGAAGTGTGACTGTGGGTTTCTCATAAGTTCAATAAATATACCTACTGCATTTTATCTTTCAACTAGCTTTTTAAGCATATGAAGTATAGTTATAATTGTCATTTGATTGTTTCTCCTGATTCTTCTAGTATATACATATTAGCTGTATGTTAATATCCATGGATTGACTTTTTCCATTCATGATGGATCGATTTTCCTTTTGCTTATCACATTGTGTAGATACTATTATATTTAGAAAATTGCAAATTTCCCTTGTTGGTTATTGAATTTATTTGTATACCTGTACATACTCTTTTGGTATCTCCAGGGATACAGTGAAGTTACCTGAAATTTATTTGAAGCTGTTGGTTCCTACTTTTGAAATATACTAGGTAGAATGAAAGCAGTGTTTAGTCTAGGGCTGATATAATCTCAGTACTGAAATATTCTTCTGAATACTCTACATAACACCCTGAGAATTATGACATTTTTCCAGTCTGGATAGTGAGGTGGATCCTGTTCCTGGCCCAGGGTAAACCTTGGTATTGTGTTTTTCTAGTTCTTACAGGTATATATATATATATATATATATATATATATATATATTTTTTTTTTTTTTTTGCCAGGCTTAGAGCAACTTCCTGACATGCATGCTGTTTAGTATTCTGCTGAATAGATGATGAGGACCCTTCACAATCCACAACAGTGTGTCAATGTATAAATTCTCGTCTCTCCAATACTATATTCCCTAATCTCCTGCCTATTTGTTCTCGTTGGATTCTCACTTCAGACCTCCTCAAGAATCCTTCAAGCTTTTTCTGAGTCATGGTCTAGAAGCTCTCTCAAGGCAATAAGCTGGGACAACTGTATGGGTCACATTTTCTCCTGCAGACTCTCAGTGTATTACTTTTGTTGCCTAATGTCCAATGTCTTGAAAACCAATATTTAATATTTTCAATTACTTTGGAGGTTTGAGGTAGGTGTGCAAATCTTTTCCCTGTTACTTCTTTTTGATCAGAAGTGGGAAGCATTTTTGAGCCAAGCTTAATTTCTAGGTATAGTATTGACCTCCTGGGAAGACCTGTTCAAGCAATAGAAAGAGCTAACTTTCATCTCTAAACTTACCTATCTGTATAGGTTGAATTAATATTAATATGTAGGGTTTTCAAGAAAATAATTTATCAGAGGTTCAGTGTACAAGGAAATTAGCAGTTTCCATGTTCCCCTTCTGTTTACTCTTTGTTCAACAACAGGATGTTCCTCTAAGTCTGGAAACCCTCCAGGACATCAGAACAGATGTTGCTGGTAAAGAATATGGTTTGGCTACTACTGGGAAAACTGAGAGAATGGTCAGGTTTCCTTATAACAAGTAAGATGTAATATCCCGAATATGGTATCAAAGATGGGTCATGATACATGATACATGCATGGCCTGTATCAGTTCTTTGCCTTTTGTTGTAAGGAAAAAGGGAGCTGTTTTCAAACATTGCTTCTTCCTTAGCATTATTACATAAAAAAATAGAAGCTAATTCTTCATTGGATAATTTACATATAGTTCAAATAATTAGGAATATATACATCCTTCTACTTGATTGAACCACTATATCTTGAGCAGTGTTCTAAACAAAATGTTTTGTATTTACCACTCACTAATATTCATACTGATGTTACATCTAATATATATATTAATGTTATATCTAGTCTATTTCATGAAAGCCATACATTTTTAAACTGAACAAAGCCAATATTTATTTTCACCCTTGCCAAAGCTAAAAAACAAACAAAAAAAAAATCACCATTTAAATCACAATTTAAATATATTAAGCCAATAAAATTTTATGGTGCAGTTTTCCGTGAAACAAAATTGTAAACATGATTTCTTAAAAATTATGTACACTTTCAGTTGTATAGTTTATTAGCTTTTCATAATATTCAAAAGCATTTTTTGAATAATCTGCTCAATCTTATTAAGTGAGGCAATCTCAGATCAGTCACCTCCAGCTATACACACAATGAGAAGCATAATTCATCTCTTACTCCTCAGAGAACCTGGCATTTTATGCCACTGTGATGTCCCAAAAATATAGAACCACTAAAATGTACTTTTCAAATTAAATTTTGATTACATGGCAGTCATAAAAAAGGTTGCTGATATATCATTTTATGAAATAGTAGTATTTTCTTAATGGAATTGTCAAAGTTGGAAAACTCACTTGTGTTGTCAAAAATTTTCCTGGAATTATTTTGCTTTGTAAATAGAGTAAATTAAGCATTTCCTCCTTTTTCTCCACTTATAAAATGGAGACAATTCTACTCTCCCATTGTTAGAAACGATAATGATGTTCTTCACATTTTTTATTACTCTTCCATGGTTTGTTTTCCATAGATATCTTCTTATTTAGAAATGTTTGCTATTCCTTACAACTATATAAAAATGATTCACCATACATATGGCAAACTTTTTTAAAAAATAAGATCATGGCCGGGAGCAATGGTGCACACCCGTAATCCCAGCAGCTCGGGAGGCTGAGCCAGGGGAATCGCAAGTTCAAAGCCAACCTCAGCAATGGCAAGGCACTAAGCCACTCAGTGAGACCCTGTCTCTAAATAAAATACAAAATAGGGCTGGGTATATGGCTCAGTGGTCAAGTGCCCCTGAGTTCAATCCCTGGCACCAAAATAATTAATTATTAATTAAATGTTTTTAATCCATATAAAGAATATGCTTAAAACTGCAAAATTCTAAATGTACTAATAAGTACATTTTTCCTCAGAAAAGCAAAATAATCACTTAAAATATTAGAAAAAATATAGTCAAAATATATGCATGTATATCTTTTCAATAGCATAATAAAGATATGTCTACTCCCATAATGCATTGTTTGAACAGAATTATTTTGAATATGTTACTTTATAATTCTTTTCCTTTCCTTATAGGTAGTTTGGGCTAAATCACATAAAGTTGGTTGTGCAGTTTCAATATGTCCTAATCTTGGCGGACCTACAGCTTCAATATTTGTGTGTAACTATGGACCTGCGTAAGTTATTTTTCTATATAAAATGTTTATATTGAAATAAATGTTAATAAGTGTTTACAAAAAGAGAATCTTATATTAGAAACAAGTATTTTTTGATAAGTAAAGTCTCCCTCTAAAATACTAATAAAACAAGGTAGGTGAAAATAAAAAGTAGTAGTAGAACATTCTCTTGTATAAAGTAGAACTGTGTTTGTTATGAAATGTTTAAGCTTGAGAGTGAATAATGGCAATTGTTTCTTAAGTAATATGAAATAAATTGCCCAGTAATATCTAAATGCTGGAATGCAAAATGGTTGGCAGATGATTCTCTAATATAATATTAACATAATTGGAATGAGAAAATGATTGAGAATAATGGCAAAAGCACATTTTTCTGAGAAAAGAGCAACATACTTTTTAATACCCTCCTGATAATAACTTACCTAAGAGGCACTATAACATAAACATAATGGGAAGCTCCAAAAATGAAATTAGACTTTAATCCCTATGGATCTGTATAAGGAATATAAAAAGTTAATAACAAAGTTCTTCAACAAACAAAACCTTTAAAGCAAAATGTACAAAAGGTAAAAGTGTAGACAAAGAATAAACATACAGGATTGGCAAAAAGGGGGTAGGATATGCCAAAAATACTATGGAAAGATTATGTTTCTCTCTTTTTGTATTTTCTTCTACTGCCTCCCACTTAGAAGTAAAAGCAAGAATGATAAGTACATTGAGTTAAATTTGGGGGCAGAGAACAATTTTGTAGATATCAAAGAAATTACAATTATCAATATTTTCTCTTAAGGAGACTAATCACTGAATTTGGAAGAAAAATATAAAAATAATAGGAGATTAATGCTCAGTATTTGATTTTTTTTAAAAAAAGCTAAATAGCATAATGTTGCTTTGAACAAATTAAGTTTTGGGATCCAAACAAATATGTTCATAACAGATTTCTTATTGGTCTTGTGGTAATATTCGGAGGATGTTGTTACATTACTCCTGGCCAAGTAATGGAAACAACTATACTCTAACCCTGAAACAACAACAGACAAAATACATGAAGCGACAATTTTGAAGTCATTGCCTATCATACAACAAAAGATTGGCACATGGAGTGGGGGAAAGAGACAGAGGTTGTTAGATTCCAGTTGAAAAAACAGCTAAGAGTGCAGGGAAACTAATACTGCTAGAGTTCATGGATAAACATATTAGAGAAAAGAGAACACACACACTGAACACTCAGCATATAGTGATTAGCATATGTTTGTGAAGAAACTGATGAAGAACCCAGTAAAGAATTAGAGGGAACCATTCTGGCACTCTTACAGGGAGCAAAGCAGACTGCTCCAATTTTCCTATCAATTCACAATAAAACCTGAAAGAATCCAAAAGTTCCCAATTAAGTGCACCCCAGAATAAAAAGATTGATGATTTATAGAAAACATGATATACAGGAACTAACACTTAACAGTGTGGGGCATCTAATTAAATATCACCAGGCATGTAAAGAAGCAGGAAAATTAGACTTAGTACAAGGAGGATAATCAGTGGAAATTGAAATTAACGCAGAACTAACAGAGATTTAGAGTAGAAAGAAGACAAAATTGTTATGATTGTATCCCTTATTTTCAAAAACTAAGCAGATAAGATACTAAAAACAGAAAACTACCATGTCTGAGTTGAAAAGACAAGGTTCTTTTCTACCCTAAAGTTCTACTCCTTATGAAATGGAATAATTTAACTTGACTATGAAAAGTAAAAGACATATACTATAAACCCTAAAGTCACCACAAAAACTAAAAAAAAGAAAAACAAAACAAAGAATAATAGCAGATAAGCCAACAAAGCAGTTAAAATGAAGTCTTACAAATATTTTGATTAAGGGCTGGGGCTGTAGCTCAGGGGCAGAGCGCTTGCCTAGCATGCATGAGGCACCGGGTTTGATCCTCAGCATCACATCTGTCCATCTACAACTACAAAAAAAAAAAAAAAAAAATTTTAAGTGTTTGATTAACACAAAGGAAGGCAGAAAAAGAGAATGGGAGAACAGAGAACATATGAGACAATAAAATAAGCAAGAAGGTAATAGACTTAAACCTAACTACCTCAACAATCACCTCAAATGTTAATGGTATAACTGCCCTAGTTAAAAAGCAGAAATTATACAATTGGTTAAATTTGTTTAAAATATTTGCTATTCAGAGACATTTGTTAAAAGAATGAAATGACAACCAACAGACTAACAGAAAGCTCATAAAACATGTGTCAAATAAGGACTTATATTTATAACATAAAAAGCACTCTATAGTCCAATATTAAGAAAATTCAATTTTGAAAAATGAGCAAAAGACATGCAGGTGGTATATAAGTCACCTGCAAAATGCTCAACACTATTAATCGCTATGGAAAAGTAAAATCACAACGAATACTACGGTACAACTATTAGAATGGCTAGAGATGGGACATTCCAAGTACTGAGGAGGATATGAAGGACCCAGAATTCTCACACCTTTTTTATGGGTATTATATTTAAGGATTTGTGCATGAATGATTGAAATGTTCAAAGCAACTTTATTTGAAATAGCCACAAATTTGAACAACCCAAATGTCCATCAGTGGTTGAAAGGATAAATTGTGGCATATTCCTTAATGGAAAGTACTTATATTACTGTGTTTTTCTTTGTGTATTCTGGGTAAATAATACTTTTCAAAGTCTCCAAAGTACTCGAAGATTTTTTTAAAAAGACATTTGTTAAAATGCATTGGCTTATATTATCAAAAAGCAGGCATAAAAGCTGTGAAGTCTTCTTGATAACATTAACAAGTAGAACTAGATAACTATGGTATTGTTTTACATATATATATGTATTTTAGTCATAGGTAAACAAAATGTCTTTATTTTACTTTACATGGTGCTGAGGATCAAACCCAGTGCCTCATGCACGCCAGATGAGTGCTCTACTTTTGAGCCACAACCCCAGCCCCCCACCATGGTACTTTTAAGTAAAGCCATATAGTGTGTTCTCATTTGCAATTTAAATTTATTCCATTTACAAAGGAAGAAGTAATCATGGTGACTATTAAAAAAATTGTGACTATAACATGCTGATAATTGGGTTCAATCCAATTTGTGTTTTATGTTTAGGAATAACCTGTAAAGAACAGTTTTAATAGTTTCCTTTTATAAAAGAAATTAGCATAAAGTTGGGACAAAAGTTGGTTGCTATTTTTCCCTTTTCAACATTTATGATTTAGTGAGTGACCAGAACAACTTTTTCAAATGCACAAAATTTGAAAAATAATTGCCATTAGGGTAACATTTTTTTTTTCTCTTTTTCAGAGGAAATTTTGTAAATGTGGCCCCTTACACCAAAGGAGCACCCTGCTCCATGTGTGCTGAAGGAGAGAAATGCGTCAATAAGCTGTGCCGTAAGCATTAATAATAAAAATCATAATGTAACGTGGACCTGGGCAATTGGATGGGTCCTTTGCCTCATGAATTCAAGGAATGAGATCCAGGGATAAGCAAAGGGTAGAATAATAAGATTTATTTAAAACAGAAAAAGAGAAGGGCTCCCAAAGCATGGGAGAGGTTCCTAGGAAGCGTTCCACTGTCTTCTGTCTAGGGGTTTTTGTGGGCTTGATTTTTCCTCATAGTTGATTGGTAGGACAATACCCACAAATACAATTTAGAAAGGGGCCAATCAGCCAGGTGCTGTGCTGCAGGCTTATAGTCACAGTGGCTTGGGAGGCTGAGACAGGAGGATCGAAAGTTTAAAGCCAGCCTCTCCAATTTAGCAAGGCCCTAAGTAGCTTAGCCAGACTGTGTCTGAACTTTTTTTTAAAATTAAAAGGTAGCTCGGTGGTTAAACGACCCTGAGTTCAAAGAAAGAAAGGAAGAAGGAAGGGAGGAAGAAAGAGAGGAAAGAAGAAGTCAATAAACTCTCCCCTACCCTCTCCTCCCCTTCTCTTCCCTTCTCTTTTTTTCATCCTTAGCAAATCTGGAGAAGCTTTTCTAAGCATAATCAGCACAAGAAGAGGGGGAGGTCTTGTAAGAGGAAGTACTTTTTAGGGAATATTTTGCTGTTAGTTGTGGTTAGGGGTTATTAAGGGACCATCCTTGTGGATAGGACCATCTGGGGCCAGGTGCTTGATTTCTCAATCTTCTCTTTCTCCTTTTCTTTACCAAGACCCATTTCCTGGCTGCCTGGTGTGGTCTGTCGTCCTGTCTCAATCATATTCTATTTGAACACTAATGTTTCCAAAAATTCATTACATTTAAAAATGTCATCCTTACAATTTGTAATTTATGGATGAGTTTTGATTGTTTCTATAAGGTAATAGAAATCAATCATCATAAAAAATTATATTTAAATTCTGATGATCCCTCCCTTCTTCACTGATTATTCTTCCTTTCAAGCTAATGGACAGAAAGAAATGAGTTACTACTGTGATCTGGTTTTCTACTGCACTCAAGTATTGGCTAAAACGTTTATTTGCATTTGCTTTCATACCCCTTCTCTAACTTATCAGAATAGTGACTCATTCAGAAGTAAACACTAATCAATGTCCTTAATTTTGACTTAAAAATCATGTGTTTCTCTTCCATTGTGAAGTTTTTGGTTCTCAAAACAAATATCCTTTTAAGGGTATATATGTAAGTTCTTGGTGGAGAAAGAGATAAATATAAAGATATATATATTTAACATATATAAAGAGATTATATATAATATATAAAGATTATATATATTTGGAATATGTAAATATTCTACATATAAAACATAGATATGTAATATATAGATATTATATATAGTATCTTCTATATTTATATTTTATATATGTAATATATATTATGTATATATATATATGAAAGAAGACAAACACAAGGAATGCATATTGTTCCATATGAAATCTAAAATCAGGCAAAATTAATCTATTTTAAAGTTGGTATAGTGGGTACATACACATTTGGAGAGGAAAGAATTAGTGATTAGAAGAGGACATCAAAAAGATTTCTTTGGACCTATGCTGTGGTTACCTAGGAAAGTGCACTTTTAATGATACATCAATCTTTCCTATCATAAGATATGAGGTTTTTTTACATTCAAATCATACTTCAATTAAAGAATGTACTAGAAGTGAGTTCCTTCTAATTTCAGATTTAACTGGAAGCCATTTTTAAAATAAATTGACTGTTTACTTCCTGTTTGCAAACTAATGCTTCCTAGTCGATGGAATATGGACTAGATACATGCATTTATTCACTCCCATTTCCTGCCCAGTATTCAAGTCACTGTTGTTTCTTGCTAAAACTAACGTAGTCACCCACTTCTTCCTTTACTACAAACTGTTTTATACAAAGAAAATCAAATCAAATTAGTTCTTGTCTTAAATCCCTCATTACAATGAAAGAAAAATCTAATTCTGTACCACATAACCAACAAGTCCAAGCGTGATCTGGCCCGTGCCTCTTCTCTGCTCTCATATATATTTTTTTTTTTTTATCTTCTCCTTGAAACAGACACTAAGCTCCATTATCACCACCCTCAAATATTCCAACTTGCTGGGAGCCACCCTAAGCAGGATCTATGCACATACCTTTAAGTCTTGAGCAAGGAGGTACTGGAGTGGCATTCCATCTATTGCAATGCATGTGGACTTATCTCTGCTCAGAAAGGTGCCCTTCGGGAGTGGGCGTTACACACTGGAAGTGGGCTGCCTCCTTGTTCCTTTGTAATACTACCCCTCCGCCTAATTTGGACAGAATGTTCCATTGAATAGTTCCCCCCATAAAAGCCAAGCTTCAGGGCTTACTCCCTCTCTGGCACCAGCCTCCTGGGGAGGGGGTTCTCTTGCCCCCCTCCCCTTGTGGGAGCTTGCGGCTGGGGGCAGGGAAGCCGTCCTGAACACCCACTGAAAGGTATTTTGTGTGTCTGCGTGGTCATTTCGTGTCACACCAAATTCACTGGAGTGACCCCGGTTCAGTAGCCAGTGCTGGACAGGGGGCTACACCAACTTCTATATAAAACTCCATTATCCAGATCACTGTAGATCTGTTTCTTATGGCCGGATTGTATGGTTTTCTCCTGGTGGCAAACTGTCTTTAGAGATGATTATCAATAATCCTTTACCTCCAAAGCAGAAACTTTTTTTTCTCCTCTGGAATAAGGACCTGTATCAGCTCTGAGCCTAGGCTTTAAGAGATCTGACAGATTTGGCTGTTCCTGCACTAGAAGCCCACCCCTTACCCTGTTTTATATAAAGAAAATCAAATTAGTTCTTGCATTAAATCCCTCATTACAATGAAAGAAAAATCTACTTCTGTACCATATGATCTCCCCTCCCCCCCCCCCCCCACTCCCAAACATGTAAAGAAATGAGTGTTCTCTTGCTTGGAAAGGCAATTTTGAGAAAGGTCTTAGAGGAGGAGGGGCTATATTGCTGTTTCAACCCCAGCTGTGCTATATGTAAACACAGCCGCGATGTTGGCCCCTGATCATGCACAGCATAGCAAAAGAAATACCTAGCAGAGTGAACCAACCAATCCAAATGACTGTGAGAAACGATAATAAATTGTTCTGGTTCTAAGACATTAAGTTTTGGAGACATCTGTTTGACAAAAGTCGATAACAAACATTGTCCACACCTTGTGATTTTTTTTCATTAAGCATATAACACATGACAAAAATATAGAAGTTTCTACGTTTTTCTTTGCTGAGTAGACAAGATTCAGGGTTGTCTTGGTCCAAATGAAATTTAGTTACTGCCCAGTTAGAATTTATGGAAGGCTTGATTTAGACTGCCTCTGCTGTCCCTGCTCCAGGAGTGTAAACTTCCACTCATTTCTGACAACCAGCTGGTGGGTTTCACCCATGCCCCCTCTCCAGTGGGTTCTGGACTCTAATCCTATTGAAGGATTATAAGATTGCTGAAAACTCTGCTTTGCTTTCCAGACTCTTTCAGCCTCTTGCTCCTCACACCCTCCAAATTAAACAAATAAGTACAAATGGGTATCCCTTTGGCTCATTTCCTTCATCTCCTCTTCCCATCTGGCCCTTGACCCCTCAGTTCTCTGAGCTTTTATCTGTTTAGGCCTTCAAGCAGAAACCCGAAATACTGCTAGTTTCTCTGTTTCCAAAAATTGGCCTCCACCCACACAAAGTTCAGATTTTCAGCCTTAAACCTAGGCCCAGAATCAAGAGGGTCCCAAGGAGAAAGTTGCTTTCATCATACCATCTCATCTCTGTATAGATCTCCTACTCTGAAATTTCAGGCCTGTTGCTACAACAAATTTCTGATGCTCTTAAACCGTGTTTTGTTGTATTTTCTTTCTTTCTTTCTTTCTTTCTTTCAATTTTTTTTTTCAGTTGTAAATGGACACAATACCTTTATTTTATCTATTTATTTTTATGTGGTGCTGAGGATCGAACCCGGTGCCTCATACTTGGGAGGCAAGTGCTCTGCCACTGAGCCAGGATCCCAGCCCCTGTATTTTCTTTTCCATTTTCTAGTTGCATTTGATGAGTACTTTTTATTAGTGCTTTATAGTTATACATAATAATGTGGTTCATTCTGACATAATCATGCCTGCAGGGAATATAATTTGCTCCATTTCAGGCCCTAGTAACTTTCTTTTTCCTTCTTCTCTTCCCTCTCCTGTTCCCCGTCCTCTACTCTGCTAGTCTTACTTCTATTTATTCATTGTTGCTGTTTTGTTTTTTTTTTAATTGATGCTCTATAGATATACGTACAGGAGAAATTCTCTGTGATATATTCATATATGTAGATAGCACAATTTAGTCAATTTCATTCTAAAGAACTTCCTTTTTCTGTCTTTCCTCCTTCCCCATTTCCTTTCTCTACTCCCCTGATCTACCTTCTATTTTCATGGGATCCATACACACCCCACCCCCACTTTTTTTGTCCCTTATTTTGCTTTAGCTTCTGCTTATGACAGAAAACTTTCAACCTTTGACTTAAGTCTGGCTTGCTGAGAGCTTTTGTATCACAAAGTACTTTATCTGGGAGATGTCAGCCACCACTGACAACAGGCTCCAAGACATCACTTATAGTCTGCAAAGGCCAAGATAAGCTTTTTGATAACTGGTTGGGGGTGCTTTCACAGCATGTCTTTTTTCCAAATTATTCAGAAATCATTTGACTATACTTGACCCTTTGATGGTGCAAATTAATTTTAGGGAAAGCTGTCAATTCTGAAGAACTGATTTTGATTAGAATTGCCTTAAACTTGTAGAAAAATTGGGGAGAAGTTATAGATAAATTTGAAAGAATAAACATCTTTACAACACTGATTATTTCCATTAAGAAAACTGGCTTATTTAGATTTTTTTAAATGTCTTTCAGTTAAGTTAGAAATTTTCTCAGACTTGCTATTAAAAATATTTTAAATTCCCTAATTTATTTTGAAATTTATAGAAACATAAATGTTTTTACATATTAGTCTACTCTCCAGGAATCTTACCAAACTCTCTTATTATTTCTAATAGCTTATTGATTCATTTGGATTAGCTATGACAGTCATATTATATGAAGGGAAAAAAGCAAGTTTTGTTCTTTCTTCTAATCTTTACATTCATTATTTATTTTACTAATAGTAATAGACATTGTCTTCTCCAGTGCAATGTTGAACATAAGCTATAATATTTTCTTGTTACTGGTCTTAAATACAATGTTTGAACATTATGCAAACTTATTTTAGATTGCTTTTAATTTGGCTTCGTAGTTAGGTTATGGAAGTATTCTTTTTTTCCTAATTTTGCTAATGTATTTAAACTTATTTAAATTTAAATAAATGTTGAATTTTAACAATTTTAACAAGTTACCTGCATCCCTCAAAATGACCCTAATTTTTTCCCTTTAATGTCTTAATATTAAAACTGTATCAAATGATTTCTAACATAACACAGCAACACTAAAATCTTTAAAGATAGTAGGAGTACGGCAGTGGCCCACAAATCCAACTTTAAACCATTTTTTCCTTCCTGTTATAAATCCAATTTGAGCATGAGATTTCCTTTATAGATAGTTAGAATTTTGTAAAAATTCATTTAGAATTTTTGCATTTAATTTTAGAATTAAAATTGGCCTATAATTTCCCTTCTTTGTTTCTCCTTGTGTGATTTTCAACTTCAAGGTCGTAGCAGCTGCAAAGGAAGTTGGAAGCTAGGAACATTATTTCTTTTAATATTTTGGTTATAGTTATACAACATTCTGATTATTTCACTTTTGGAAGTTTGGGAGACTTTCTCTGGAAAGCTACTTTATTTTGGAGTATGTGTGTGTGTTTATAAATTTTAATTACTCATTTAATGATTATATGATATCCAGGTATGGGGAAAAAACAAGCAAATTCTCTTATATTTTCATCTCTGCTATATCTATAGTTATGTTCCATTTAAGTCCTGTGTCTTTTGATTTGTGCTCTTTCTCTTTTTGTTGAACAGTGTTTATTTTTTTAAAAAAATTAGCTTGATTGACTTCATTTTTTGAGAAACAAGAGTTATGGCAGAATGTTTAAATATAAAGGTCTTGGAGTCAGATGAAAGGTGATTAAAAGGATTAAATGTGATAAATCATACAAAGCAATTTGAGTCCCAAACAAGTTAAAATCTCAATATATTTAGCTATTGCCAGAGTGTGGTGGGGCACCATGTAATCCCTGCAACTGGGAGATTGAGGCAGTAGGATCTCAAGTTTGAGGTCAGCTTTGGGAACCTAGCAAGACCAGGTCTCAAAATAAAGTAAAATTAAAAATGAGAAGGGCTAAGTATGTATCTCAGTGGTAGAGTACCCTTAGTTTAATCTCTAGTAGCATAAAAGGAAAAAAATATTATAGTGATTATTATAATTAAATTCTTCATTATTTTCTATCATTTGACCCAGTTTATATTTTTCTTGCCACTTATTGTTACCGCTGTTTACCAGTGACAAGTCCTTGCTTCCCCAATGCTGAAGTATAACACCAGAGAAACACTCCAAGGCATGTTTAGAGTGAGAAGGTAGAAGCTTTATTAAAGGACAGTAGAAAAGACTTCTCCAGGGAAGAAGAAGGGGACCCAAGAGGTGGAATCCATGGAAGGGGGAGGTCTTCTCTCTTTTATAGCTAAGGTCTACTTTCTGCTTTCTTGCATTCCTGTCACATTCCTATCCTTTGTTCTGTTATCTTACAGTGAAGGAATGTAGGTTGAAAGGCCCAAAGGGTGGGAGACAGAGGAGGCCAAAGGAGTAATCTGTGCAGGAAGGGCTTTTGGATTAGCATCTCCATGTTTGCTGGGAGCTGCTTCATTAACATTTCCTTGGGATGGGCTCCATCTTCATCTTACTTGATATTAGACCCTATGTACCTAACTACACTAACTACCTATCTTTAAATCTGACTTCATTCCCCCCCTGTAATTTTGGGAACTCCTTACTGCTGTAAGGAAAGGGGGCAATGACCGTTCTGGCTTCTTCAACCTGAAAGGGGTGGTGTTGAGAAAGCAGTTTTGGAGTCCCCCTTTTAAAAATCAGGTCTATCCAGTGGTCCATGATAGAAGTCCGATTGAGAAGTAACAGGTTGGAGGGCCATTTGAGTGATGGGCGGTCTATAAAAGAAACAAGAAGTTATTAGTACTGGAACTAGATTAACGCAACAATAAATGTCACAGCATAGGAATATCTTAACGAGTATGGTGACAATGACAGAAACTAACAATGTTTTCCACCAGGAAGAACCAGGAGCTAAGATATTGTTCCCATGACAAGGTTGGCGAGGACATGGCTTCTATCTGTAAATCTTTAAGGATATTTGTCACATTGCCAGAATTGTCAGGGATGTAAACACAACATTCAATTTTAATAATGCCATAAGTAACGCCTTGAGCTGCAGTGAGGACATATAAAGCCATCTGGTTTTGTAAGATGGCCTTCCTCATAAGTGTTATTTCAGTGTTAAGGAGAGAGATAACTTTCCTCAACATCATGGAGGGCAGTTTGAGTATGATTGTTTAAAGTCTCGACATGCCACATTACATCTTTTAAACCAATTTGTGGGATAAATAGTGAAGCTAGATGATCATACCAACAAAACACAGTTTGTCTCCATCTATGTTTGAGATTGGGGAGGTTTGCTGGCTGTTGAGCTGGTCCCTTCTTTTGTGTGACCACTCCTAGGGATGTTCCTCCTCTCTCAAGTGACAAATAGGTTGAACTTTTGTTCAGTAGGCAAGCTAAGGGCAGGGGCTTGGAGTAAGGCCCCTATCGATGCCTTAAAGGCTTTAATCTGTTCTGGTTCCCATATCAGGGAAGTTGTTCCTTGGCATAGTGTCTCTTTGAGGAGGCTATAGAGAGGCTTAGTTAATTCCCCATATCCAGGGATCCAAAGCCTACAATATCCAGTTATCCCTAGGAAGCCTCTAAGTTGTCTTATGGTTTGAGGTAGAGGATACTGTCCTATAGGAGTTATTCTTTCTGGTCCTAGTTTGAGGGTTCCTTGAGACAGCTGTAATCCTAAATATTGAACTTGTTTTTGGCACAATTGAGCTTTTTTCTTTGATACTTAATAACCCTTATCAGCTAAGAAGTTTAAAAGTTCTTTAGTGGCTTCCTGACATTTCTTTTGAATGGAGGCACATAAAAGTATGTCATCTATATATTGTATGACAGTCAGAGATGTTTTATCTCTGATCTCTGTTAAATCCTTAGCTAGGGTTTGGCCAAACAAATGAGGGCTATCTCTGAACCCTTGGAGCAATACCATCCAACTTAGTTGAGATCCGCTATCTGGTTCCTCAAAGGCAAACAGATATTGTGATTAGGAGTCTAAGTCCATACAGAAAAAGGCATCCTTTAAGTCTTACACAGTAAACCATGCAGCAGCTGCTGGAATCTCAGATACCAGAGTGTATAGATTAGGAACCATAGGGTGGAGAGGAACAACTGCTTCGTTAATTATTCTCAGGTCCTGAACTAGTCGCCATTCCCCATTGGGTTTCTGAATTCCTAAAATGGGTGTGTTACATGGGCTATTGCAGGGCACTAAAAGTTTCTGTCTTTTGCGGTTCTGAATGATCTTCAATAAGCCCTTTTTTGCCTCTGGGCGTAGGGGATATTGTCTCTGATGTGGAAAGACAGAAGGATCTTTTAAGACTATTTTGATTAGAACTGCACTTTTTGCCCGTCC